AAGGTTAAGAAAGGCCTTTAATGACTCCTATGTGTTGAGGATTCAAACAGGGTATAACATGATACTTTAAAGAGTCACCTATGTGAATGTGAAGTGGGGTCACTTCTAAAAAAATTGGAAAGGCCAAAATTCTTTGAAACCAATCGCTGAACCAGGCTAGTGCTCAGGGCCATTGTAACGCCCTCAAAATAATACATAAAACCCATCACTTTAGACATGCACTAACATAAAAGAAACCAACCATCTTTCCATTAATCAGAGTAGTTCTTACAAAAGTATTACATGTTAACAACAAAAGCAAGTGCCCTACGGGCTTACAGCTTTCCAAGTTAACACTTGGTTACAAAAAGAAGAGTGCTAACTCCATACATATTAAGCCCTTGGCTTGAATTTACATGTAATACATCAAAAGAAAGCAAACAACAAAAGCAGCATGTCTGCTTCTAGCCTCCCAAGCTATGTCCTTGGAGGTGGCATGCTACTTGTACCTGAAAATGATGTCCCATAAAGGGTGAGCCACAGCCCAGCAGAAATACACTAAACCAGCTATGAACAATGACTAAAAGATTAGCAGTTGATAGATGGTCAACACCGATACACTCACTTATATCACATTTTAGTTTCATGACCTTTAAGTCCATGTTACACCTCATTTCTCATTTCTTTTTCAACCTTGAGTTTGAAAACAAGGCTTAACACTTAGTCAAATAACTTAATGAGAATAAGACTCATCTTAAAAACACTTTCGAAATTCATGATGGATACACATTTTGATACTGTATCAATAACACATAAACCACTCCCATACTATACGAACGATACACATTTTGGTGCTGTATCAACATAACATAGAAACACTTCTATACTTCACAATTGATAACGATATACATTTTAGTGCTATATCAAATCAATTTAAACACTTCCATAATCAACACTTGATACACATTGTAGTGTTGTATCAATGTCACACGAAATCCGGTTTAGAGGTCCATCCCCTGTTTTCCCCTAAACCGTGGAGTACATCTCCTATCTCCTCCCCCACACACACAATGTATATAAACATAGATTATATACATAAACAACCAATACATAAAGTCGATGTATTATTCCAACCGCTATATTCGATAGCATACTCAATCGATTAGTTTTAGTTTACCTAATCTTCATGCATTGTCTACAACAATCAAGACTATCCTCCACCAATAGCCCAAAACAGTTATTTCTAAACAGAAAATAAATGCACCAAATGGATATATTATCAACATTCAACTTGGGTGAGCGATTAAATGAATCCAACTACACCCATTAATCCCATAATCTTTTCAATTTGAATACTCTCAATTCAATTCCTCAATTCTCAAAATTAATTATACGTATTAATTTATCCAACTAATTAGGGTATTTTTCCATAATTAACATAACAACCCCAAGGTTCCATTTTCATCTATAGTTCATCATCTATATCATTTCTCTATGCCAAACATGCATATAGGTTTAATTATAAATAAAACCCATCTTTTGTAAAATTACACAAAGACCCAAACTTTCTCAAAATTACCCAATAACCCCCAACATATCACAATGCTAAAATTCAAAGACAAAGCTCATAAGGAGGAGTAGGATATCCCTACCTCGAAGTTAGAGCTCAAACGGAGAAGGAGGAGAAAACGAAAATGCTCCAAAAACTAAGATTCTCTGATCAAAACGAAGCCCTCGACGATCAACACACTCTTTACAAAGGCCGAAGGATATGGAGACACTCTAACTAGATCAAACCCTAGAGAGAAAGGAGATCCTAGAGAGAGAAGCTCTCAAAAAGTGTTTTTAGAAAGTAAAAGAGAGAGAGAGAATATAAGAAGTGATTTTAAAATGCCCAGCTGCCAACTAATATACGATATACCCGCTCGAGCGGATAACAGGACGCTCGAGTATCAAGAACAGAAAACTGGGTCCACTCGAGCGTAAGAATTCCCGCTCGAGCTCCAAGACACAAAGACAAAGCACACCCGCTTGAGCGCGAAAGACCAGTCTGTTCGAGCATAGATTTTCATCTCCCAAAACTTTTACCAACGAGGTACTACCCGCTTGAGCGCCAACAAGCCCGCTCGAGCTCAACCCGCTCGAGTGCAAGAAACCCGCTCGAGCGTAGAAAACACACCTGCAGAAGTTTTGCAGGGACTCGAAATGCTGAAAGGGTGTAAACCCCGCTCGAGCGCAAAATGACCCGCTCGAGCGGACCACTCAAAAACTGGGCAACAACAATGGGAGCCAAAGCTTTACCAACCTGTAACAACCAAGTCCAACACATCCTAAAACTCAAACAAATAGATTTAAAGGACAACAACAAGATAGATACAATTACTAATTCCACGGAACCGAGTCCGGAATACAACTGAACAGTAAAGGGACAACCGGGATCGCTATAGCCATACAAGGCACACCAATGAGAACAGAATAGTGGTAGTAGTAATTCCCATGTGAGATTTATTGTCTCAGTTTACATAAACGTCAGAGCAATTCGAGATGTCATATTCACTGATCAGCCAGTAAACTCGATAGGTTTTCACTGTGAGAGGTTCAAAACCAAAAGTTACCTTCTCTGATGTTGGGGTTAGTCCCTTGTACTCTCTCTCCTAGTCATTATTGTTGAACGGTGTCTGTTTGTTGAGTCATTTGGTCAATTTTTATTCATGTGGGGGATTGTTGGAAAAAATTTATTTTTGGTGACTTTAATTAAATATTAAAGTTCACCCCAATCATCTATTGTGTTGGGTCTAAGTAGGTCTAGATACTTTGCAATGAGATATTTACACCACAAAAAGAATGGCCAAAAACTATTGAGGATTGAATGAGAAATTGTCTTATGAAGTTAACTTCATGAAAGAGGTGTGAGATTAGTGTGTATAACATGTTTGCAACTCCTGCAATATTGCAGAGGTTTATGGTGCATTAGTGATCAACCATAAAGACAGGTTAATGGTGCATTAGTGACCAGCCATAAAGGCTTGAGGCTCCTTCTTTCTTCCCCTATACATGTATAAATTGAAACCCTCTTATCTAGTCTCAAAACAAAAATTTTTGTTTCCATTTTACAAGTCAGTTTGCTAGAAAGTTCCTACAGTAAGAGAGTGCTGCCATGGTTTTTGTTCGCTAAGTTAGACAGAGAGTGCTTCTGCCGTAGCTGGTTTTTGATCATTGTATCCTGAGAGACAGACATCGGAATTCCTCAAGCACTCGACCCGTGAGGCAACGAAAATCTGTTTTAAGGAAACTGCTACCGTGTAGGCTTCGGTCTGCTTTCTTTACCATTTTGGTGTATTTGGTATTTCTGTTGTAATTTAGTTGTAATTCTCAGCATGTGTTCTTAGTATATAATTTTGATTTATTCGTAAATCTATTTATTTAATTTCACAATTTGGACAACAGTAAAAACCCATATCATTTCTCTCATTACAAATCAATTAAAGCAAATGGAGTGTCATCTAATTCCTAACACCATTAACCATCATAGAGTTGCAATTTGAATAAGTTTAGTTGAGTCAATGGCCTATCCAATATCATTTTGAAAAGGGGCTATTTGTATGGAGATAGGGTTGTAGATGGTAGTTGGAGAAGAAAAAATGACGTGTTGGTGGTAAGTTTGGGTGTTGCAATGAAGGGTGGTGACGATGACAAATGTATTGGTGTCGATAGTGGGACGAGAAGCAAATTGTTAGGAGAGAATGTATGGATGGAAATTTTTTTTAAGATTTGTGTAGTTTTTGATAATTTTAAGTAAAAATATAACTATAATAAAAAAATACAAAATGATAAGGGTAATGCAATGCATTTTAATGTAATATATAGAATCACTCATTACAATTAATCTTACTTAGATTATGTTTGAAAATTGACTATTTTAGTTGATTTTTTTTATTTTTTAAGAAAATATATAAAAATAAATAAAAATAAATGATACAATAATTTATAAAAAAAAATTGATTAAAATTGCAAGTCCCCAAAGTGCGCCTTAATATAATTTTAGGTTTGTTTTGGCAACTTGATTAAAAGCAAATTTTTTAATTTTTTAATTTTTTTAGATTATTTCACGTTTTTATTTTTTTTATATGTATTTAAATAAAATAGAATAAAAAACTTTTAACATACTTTCCAAAATAAACTTAAAACCTCTTTTGAAATGAAAAAAAAATCAACTTATTAACTTATTTGAGTGATATTGCTTCTTTACATTTTACAAATTTTTTCGTAATAAATTAAAAACATAACCCTAAGGTCTCGTTTGTTTGGAGAGTTAGAAGGGGGATTGAGATTGGTAGTGAGGTGATACCTATTAATATTGTGTTTGTTTTGAGAGATGAGGAGGGGATTGATGTTGAGCTCCGGATTAGGATGGCCTCCCCAAGAGAATTCGGATGGACCTCCAGAACTTGGTATTAGAAAAATAGTCCGACGGACTAGAAATTTTTTATTTTATTTTTTACATGTCGGACATTTATTTTTGAACATTAAAGTTTAATTTTTTGTATTTTTTGTTAAGTAAAAATCACTATTTCATTTGTTTTATTTTTTCTTGAAAATTTTTTATTTTATATTTATTTTATAAATTTTTTTTACATGTTAGATATATTTTTTAAAATATTAATGTTTAATGTTTTTATATTTTTTTATTTATTTTATTACTTTGTATAAAAATATTTTAACAATTTCTATACTAATAACTATTATCAAAATAAATATAATTTTATTTAATTCATGTTGGATATTTTTTTTAAAACATTAATATTTAATGTTTTTGTATTTATTTATTTATTTTATTACTTTGTATAAAAATATTTTAACAATTTTTACACTAACAACTATTATCAAAATAAATATAATTTTACTTAATCCCCTCCCTATCAATTATTTTCATTCTACTTCTAAAAACAAACGGATACTAAAATGTTTCGTTCGAGAGAGTGATATTGAACCGGTCGGCCCGAGTATATAAACCAAGCCGGACAAAACAACTTGTGTCGTGTCCGGCCCATTCGTCGCCTTCGCAGATAGGCTTGCGAAAAAAACCTTTCTCTGTCAGGCGTTCTCTCTCCCACTCTCTCTCTCTCTAGAAAGAAATCAGTGACGACGTTCCATGGAAGAGAAACCATCGCGAGCTCACCTCAAGCGCCCATTTCCCGAAGACGATGATTCAAACAAACCCCCTACGTAACTCTCTCTCTCTCTCTCTCCATATACCTGTATATATGTATTCATATGCTTAGCTTAAAACCCTAATCTCTATCTTCTTTCTACTCTCTCCAATTAGACTCTTGTGAGAGTTCATTTGTGTTTCCGATATTCAATTTCTTAAACTTTCTGTTTGGTTTCCAGGAAAACTGAGGAAAGGAAAGCAGAATAATTATCTTCTAGGATAGGGAAACTGAACAGTCATGTTCTTATTCGATTTTTGGTTTAAAAAAAACAAAACTTGATTCGATTATGATAATTAGTTGTAGTAGGCACAGTTCAGAGGAGTTTACCTCCAATTCCACTTTGTTCCCTGTTGCAATTGGGCTATAATGCTATTCCAAACAACACGTGATAGTATTAATTACATTTAACATCATTGTATTTGTTATCAAAATTTCACTACCATTACCAAAATCTCATTTTAGTCCTCCGTCCGTTTTTTAAATAACTTTACGCAAAATCTAGGGGATTGACATGATGTTTGATTGAGGGATTTGGGAAGGAATTTGGAAAAGGAAAGGGAAAATGTATGTGAAAATAGGTGAAAAGTAGGTATATTTTATTCATATTTCATCTACCTATTCCCTTTCTCTTCCCAAATCCCCCAGCCAAACACAGCGTAAAAGATCCGGAAAAATGGGATTAGGTGTAAAGTATAGGAGTGTGAAGTGAAATTTGGCCAAAGGTAAAAGGGTTTGTGCTTCTGGTTTTCGAACTCTACTAGTTTTCTTGACGGCTAAGCTGATGTACTTTCTGCAGTTTCCAAATCTTAAAACTATTCTTTTGGGATTTGCTTAGATTGTGATGATTTTGAATATGCACAGGCAAAAGAGAGTTAGGTTTCCTAAGGGTAAGAAGGTGAAACCTGGAAATGAAAAGGTGGATGTATGGAAGCCTTCCGAAGACCTTACAAGTGAGCAGGTTGATGCTCGTAATGCAGCAAAGGAGCGTGCAATGCAGAGGAATCAGATAACTGCCGAACTCCTCAGTGAAGAAAATAGAGGGATGCTTCATGATATATCAGCTGCAGAAGTGCGATATGAGGTTTGTTTATATATTTCTTCCCATGTTGATTGTTCTTCTTTGGTTGATCATGAGTTATTGTTGCTAGCTATTAAATGTCTTCACACCAGTGATTGTTATTTGGAACCATACTCGCAACATTTATGTGTGATTTAGTAATACAGACAAATGTTTCAGTATAATGACAAGGTTGTTATAGCCTCAAGCGTTTAGCAAGATTGTTGCTGTTACTATCCTATATTATTTTTAGTATGTATGTACATGTTTACGAAAAAGAGTGTATCTGGGGAAATTTGTAGAATAAGTATTTTACATGTGGCTTCTGATACCCCGTAATGTTTCTAACAAGATTGTTAGGATATTCACGATTTGATTCATACAATTCAACACGATTTTCGACCAAAATAGTTTGAATCCTTCCGTTGAATCCAAAATTGAGTAAATTATGTGACTCAATTTGCGATGCATTACAATTCATTGTGATTCAATTATGTTTTTGTTTTTGCTTGCATAATGCATTAAATGTCATCTTTCTCGTTTCTGTATAAAGAAATATGAAAGAGATCAATTATTTATTTTGATAAATGTGGATATATACATATATACTATTTAGTTATATTGACATTTATTTCATTTTTAACAATTTGCATGTATTTTTATATGTATATATAAATATATAAAATTATATATTATATTAAATAAAGTGAACCTTATGATCCACAATTTGATAAGATTCATGATTCACTATTTTAGTAAAACGATTTGAAAGGCAATTTGGGTTTTGACAACAATGGTTTCTTATACCAAGTTTTTGGCATATACAATTCTCTATTTTAAAAATAAAAAAAAAATTCTAATATATAATTTAAAAAAAATTCTAATAATGTGTTTGGTTGATTCTTTTCATGGACTTAGTCATTTAGCAGACCTGAAAGTCATATAGTTTCTGCACTTCAGCTTTAAATCAATATCTAACACCAAATAGGCACCATGTTCTCATCAGTGCTTTTGATTGTCCATCTGTCAAGGAACTTCGATTTATTAAAATCTAGAAATTGTTTTTTCACTACCTCTGTCCCATATTATTGGTCCATTTTGTCAGTTTTTGATGTCCCAAAATGGTTGTCCATTTTGAAAATTCAAAACATAAAATTTTATATTATTCCAAAACTACCCTTTAAAAATGATTATAAATATATTTAATAATGGGAATAAAGGGGAAATATGGTAAATCAATATCTTTTGATTTGACTTTAAAGCAATAATTACATGTTCCCTCAAAAAGTTGGAACTCTCAAACAGGGACCAACATTGTGGGATGGAGGAAGTATCATTTTTGTTACTTCACTTTGTTTTCAGAAATGTTGATTGCTGTTGTTTATAATTATTTGTGACTTCATACTTGTCTATGGCACAAAGAATGTTTCTAATCCATTTGAGTATATTTATAGTGATGTATACTTATTTTTTAAATGGCAGCTTTTTTTCTGGGCGAGGTAATTGCTTTCAATTTATTATTGGAACAAGGGAAAGGATAGCCAATGATAGGAAGTTACTTTTGGCAGGATAACGAGACGTTTGTTCATGATGGGGTTCAGATAGAACCTTTTAATCTGGAAAAAGAGAGGGAAGAAGGCTATTTTGATGAGCAGGGAAATTTTGTCGAGTACATCCATGAAAATGAAATCAAGGTGCTGTATTGAGTTGCATGCAATTATTGTGCCAACATAATGGAACATGTTTGTCATTTGTATACAATTGCCTGCAGGATGCATGGCTTGATAGTGTTGAGGTTGACCCTAAACTTGCTGCAAAAGGCTCTATGCTTACAAATATGGATGATGATATCCCTGACCTTTCGTCTCAAGAAATTGGACAAATGAAGAGGCGAATTGCTGATGTGCTTGAGCCTGGGGAAACGGTACAGTTCAATGTTTTCTTCCCTCCTAGTTGTATTGAAGACTTGTATGAAATGTCATGTGTACGGTATATTCTCTTTTAAATTGACTGTTTTTGCCAAACATTGCATCGTTAACTGTGAAAACTTTTTTTTTTTTCACTGATTAAAAAAAAAAATACAATACTTTTGTATGTGCACCCTCCATTTCAATGATTTATTGTAAAATCTGATTATGAAATTGCTAGATAGCTAAGTTTGTTTGGTTCAACTTGACATATACCTTGGAGCTATATGTATGGCCCCCCTGCACATTGATGTATTGTTATTCTGAGTTCTATGCCAAATTTTTGTTCTCATTGTTTATTTTAATTTACATGTTTAAAGTGCATTGTATCATATATCCTTGTTAGACTATCTACTTGTAACAACTATAATATATGATGTATCATATGATCAAGAAGAATGGTATAAACTAGTTGCTTTGATATATTATGGATTCAAAAATTTTCATTAAATAAAAGTTAATTTTTTTCTTTTAATTAAGAACATAATGGATTGTTACTGTTGTGGGTCCAACTTGAATCTGCATGATTCTGGTCATATCAAATATTGATTCAAGCCAGATGAGTTTTTGCTCCAGTATTGACTTTTATTTTGACCTCCACATACATGCACATTCGTGTGCATATTTGTATATTTGTACTGTAGGTATGCTTGGTGTATCGTGCAAATTAATTGTTGTAATTAGGCCATACCCCATTTCTGTCCTCTTAATAAGATATATTTAGTAATAACCTATTACCCCCTTACTATGGAGATTCTTAAAATATACCCAACCCCTTTGTTTTTCCCATTCATTTACAAATCTTAAGATCATGCTTCTAGATAATACCCTTTTATAGTCTTGGGGGGTGCCCTCTTGGCACCATTTTAATTTAATTTATCACTTATTAGAAAAAAGACCCTTTTAGCAATTATTGTTCATTCTCTTCTCATTTTATTTCTTATCAACAGGAAAAAGGTCTCAAGGAGAATTTTTTCCTCCATTTTATTCTTTATTTATATGTAGTGTAAAAGGTATTTTAATTCTTCATTTATAAATTTAGGGTAAATTACAAAAAAAATAAGTTTTTCCCCCCCATTAACAAATAAAATCCTAGGTTTTAATTTTGTCAATTAATCCTTCATCTTTCAACTTGATGTTAATATCAATCCTCCATCCAAATTTGTTGACTAACACAGAAGAGTGATAATTTTGTCAATTTGTTTATCTCCTCCTCCCCTCTTGGAAGCCACCATCATCACCACCTCCACAACCCACCTATCTCTCTTGCTCTCTTTCTTTCTTCTTTATCTCTCTTTCTTCCTCATTTATTAATCTTTTTTAATAGCACACGCTACACATATACATACATATAGGACATACACCCGCTATCACGTGGACATTCAAAATATATACATGTATATCATATGGTGCAAAGGGACTGAAGATTCGCACGTAACGGACGAAAGGGGTGAAGGGAGAGGGAGCAGTGGTGGAAGGGGATGGGAAGGGAGAGGGTGGTGGTGGTAGAAGGGAGGCAGGGAGGGAGGGAAAAAGTGAGGTTTTCCCTTTTGAATAAAATTTTCTTTGTTGTATGCCTGCATGAAATGAATGAGGGTCAATCAGTTTTGTTTTAAGTAATTCTAATTTTGTCAAAAATGTTTTGTGGATATGCAATGTAAGATGTTGACAACAAATTTTTATTGTTTATTGAAGAGTTTTTTTTTACAATTAAGAAAGAAAGATAGAGGAAAGGAATGGGATTAAATCAGAAATGTGTGATTGTGGTGAAGAAAGATGTGTTGTTATGTTGAGGCTTGTCAGTAATGTGCAATATATATATATATATATATATCTTCACTCTTTTCTTAGTCAGGCTTCTCTTTTTTATTTCGTTTTACTTCTTCTTCCTGACAAAAAGGAAAATTGACTTGTATATTGGGAAAGTGTGAGTCACCATATTGTTTAGATTACTGAGAAAATTCCTGCTTTATATTTCAAATTGAAATTCTTCAGTGTGCAGAATGATTATCACTCTGTCTGTCCCAACTATCTGAAATTTATCATATATCAACTGCTATTTTGGTTGAATGGTCCGTTATTGCTGCTGAACATTATTTTCTCTGTTATATGTTGGATGTGGGAGCCACCAGTCAATATTTTTGTATGATATTTTTATACTGCACATTAGAGGTTGACTTTACACTCCACAGGTTTTACGAGCTTTGAGAAGGCTGAAAGGAACTTCAAATAACAAAAAAGAAAAGATGCCTGCAGAAACAAAACAACTCTTTGACCAGCTGACTGAAGATGCCATGAAGCTGATGGAGAATGGTGATTACAGTTAAGTGACTTAGTTGTTTGTCATGTGCTAAAATAGCACATGCTATTTTAGCACATTATCTTATTTGGGTCAAACTGCATGACGTGATTTGATTTGAATATAGGCATTCATGAAATGAGGTGTTGGCTGCCAAGTTCCTTGTTTAGTGTGATGAGGAAGTTTTGCTTTCTTTCAGCTTTGTTCAAATATTTCCATTCTAAGCCTTTGGATATATGAATTTGATCCTTGGTTCACCTTTTGTTTTGCAGATGTATATGATGAAAAGCAGGAGGTGTTTCAGCGTGAGGCAGGTTAGTATATTGGGCTCTTCTCCAACTTCTTTCCTAACTAAATATCCCCTTAATGACCATGCCAAGTGGGAGGGGGAGCGGGAAGAATAAAAGAAATTTCTCGCCTATTGATCTGTTTATAAGAATCTTATCTTTAGTATTAGGAACTCCTAGAGGCTTAAACAAATTGCTGATATTCAATTGCCCTTGGAGGCTAAATTGGGGTTAGACTGTAGTTGTTGCTCTACAGGAAACTTGAGCCTTAAGGTTGTTCCATTGAGTTCCTTTTTAAGGGCAAATTTCATTTTACCCCCGTGTTTAGGCCAAGTAGTTAATCTCTCTCTCTCTCAGCTTCCTGTAAAAGGACTGTCCATTAGATACTGCATAATTTGGGGTTTGGGGATAAAGAGATCAGTGTTGGATAAGAATATAGACAAATGTGAGCAATGTGCCACACTACATTGAGATTGACATGCAAATTGCAATCAAGGCCCAAACAGGGAACTTTCGTAGTCTACTCTACTACTAAGTACTAACAGCTTTCTCTTTGGTCTATTGATATGGCTCATTTGCATTTGGTATCTTCTGCAGTGGGGGAGGGAGTGTGGCTTGTTGAGAAGGGTATTTTTGTCTTTTAAAAAATGGTTAAGCCTAGATGCCTGTGATGCACTTTTCATTAATTTGGATGGAAAAATTGACGGTGCACTTTAGTCCATATACTGCAGGGGGTTAATTGGTTTTTCCCAAATGACAGATATATACACATGGGGATACAGTGAAATTTTCCTTTATTTGTTTATTTATATGTGCCGTCTACTTTGCTTCGTTTTCATTTGTATTTAAATGGAAGACCTTGTTTAAGCACTCAACATCTATTAAATGCTGTTGCAGTTCATTGTTTGTTTGATTATGTTTAATCAGTCCCAATAAATCTATGATACCTACTTTTGTTACCTTATAATGTATTGCTACAGGTTTACAAGGTAATGAATGGTCCTTCTTTTAGGAATTCCTTTATGTTTTTATATTCTTATTTTTCTAAATAATAGTTTTTCTTTTCTTATTCCCTCTGATATCAATATGCAAATGTACTCATTTGCCGTTATCTTAAGGCATTTAATTGTTAGTTTTGCAAATGTTTGGAGGATACTTTCTCATTGCCTTCTTTGTCTGCAGAAGGATATGAGAGGTTGGCAAGGGCAAGAGGGGAGGGTGACTCAATGGATACTGTGGCCAATGACTACAATTCTTCTGTACTCCTTGCTACAACTGTGGGTCCTTCAAATATGAATGTTTCTTCCGCAGAAATTTTACCCAGCAATGGTGATGATGCATTTGATATGTTTGCCGAAGATGATGAGAATGGTACTGCCAATCCAACTGCGGAAGGGAGTATCTTGGTTTCTGGTCCTACTCATGATAGAATTGGTCAGCCCTCTGAAAGTAAGCTTTAAATTATGCGTTTCACGAGTCCACTGGGTTGGATATTATTATAACTAGTAATTGCTTTGGCTGGCAGGTGGAGGTTCACAGAATGATTATGTATACGATGAGTCTTCTGGGTATATCTTCACTCTCTCTCTCTCTCTCCACACACACACACAAACACAGAGACAGTTGCACATGAGAAGTTATTGGTTGGTCTTGGGGCACCGCCATGTGGTGCCCTAATGATGTTGTGATTGGTGGAAATGGTGGGGCCCACGAATTTGTGTTGGGTGATTGGGGAACATAAGGGGGCATGGTGAATTGTGATTGGTGTGGGGCATGGCCTCGTGGCGCCCTAAGACCAATCAATAATTTTTGGTTGCAAACCCCATATCCCCATCCCTTTTTTTAAATTTTTTTTTTTTAAAAGCGAATGTGTTCTATTAAAATATGGTGGAATTTTTTAAGCAGTTTTTAATCCTTGATGTGTTCTACTAATTGTTTGCTCATCTTTGAGCCTTTAAAATTATGAACATTGGACTGCAGTATGATGTAGAAGAAGTGAAGAGGGGTGATAGTTTTGTAATTACGAATACCATATCTGCAAATACCATGGACCTTTCCAAGCTAGGTTTGTAATAACATATTTCAATCCAGAAAGAAGTGAAGAGGGGAGATAGAAGTTGGTAACTTGAATCCTGTTTGAAAGATTTTGCCTCATCGAATTAAGTACTAGTGATGTTCAGGATTTCCCTCTGGGAGTGATACAGCCACCATCTTTCATGCCTCAACTCATGAGAAAGAGAGCACGAATGAGTTTATTTCCTGACATTATTTTAGGTGGTGCAAACTTTGGTCCTCCTAAAATGATAGACTTCAAGTTATGTCGATAAATGCATGGGCGTACATTGAGGTGAAGGAATGTAGTTTTCGTTTGTTTTGCTTTGATAGACATCCTTTACACACATGTGATGACCCTTAGGCACTATTATATAGTTTTCTTTTAAGTCTTAGAAAACGCTTCAAGTATGGTCCCATGATTGTGAATTGGCCAGATTAGCTATAGTTGTTAGTGGTCAAATGACTTCTATTGGGCATGACTTCAATTTGACTTTTCATTCTGTCAAGAACTTGTTTCTCTTGCCAAACAAAAGAACAAATAATGCTGTGTGGCATGTGCAATGCATGTAGCCTGGATTGTCATGGTACTGTGATTTACATTCAATATGGAATTATATAGTTTTCTTTTACGTCTTAGAAAACGCTTCAAGTATGGTCCCATGATTGTGAATTGGCCAGATTAGCTATAGTTATTAGTGGTCAAATGACTTCTATTGGGCATGACTTCAAATTGACTTTTCATTCTGTCAAGAACTTGTTTCTCTTGCCAAACAAGAACAAATAATGCTGTGTGGCATGTGCAATGCATGTAGCCTGGATTGTCATGGTACTGTGATTTACATTCAATATGGAATTGAATAGCTTTTCTCCACTGAACATTGAAAGTCAAAATATTTTGATCATGGTTTGTTGTTTTAGAACTTCTGGAATAGTTTTGTTCCACTTCTATTAATGAGTATTTATTCTTTCCCATGCTTCATTTTTTACTAGAATACACATGGATTCTTTTTAGGGAAAATGAACAAAAAAAGAAAAGAAAAAATGATAATGTGGGACCACTATGGCTGATTTGCTTATAATTATGTTGATTTACATTTGTGTTCTCATGGTCCCCCCCCATGTCATGTTAATTGTGAGATACCTATTGTGATTATGAGTTTCTGGTGATTAGTTCAGAATGTGAGGTATAAATTTGTAACAAATTCATTGAAATAATTTGTGTGACATTAGTTTATTCATCTTTTATTCCTTCAGGTACTACTACAGCAGTAGCTTGGGCTACTATTATGACCCATCTTCGGGATTGTATTGTTGTGCAGCATCAGGACAGTGGTAACTTGCTTGCATCCTTAATCTACAAGTTCTGGGTTGGCCTTTTTGATTTGTAATGTTGTAAACAATGAGATAACCATGTGATAAAAGAATGGAACTTCATTAAAAATTAAGAATACCATGTTATAGTGCCTAAGAAGCATGGACGCGGGACACACAAAATTTTCAAAAAAATTTTGACTTGGCAATAAATAAATAGAAATAACGAGACATGAATCTTTTTTCACCGTTCCGTTCTGTTAAAAGCTTTATGCTCAATTAAATTCAATAAATTCATATCCTTTTGTGAAATTTCTAAGTATGTCTGCCAGATACAAATGCTCCATTCTCCATTTAAACAGAATGATGATGAGGTCAGCCCAGTGGAATCCCTCTATGGGCTGCACTTTCTTTTGTACAATGAACTTCCAACTGCACATATATTGGCATGGCAGTTATGTCAAGCAGAAAAAAATGCAAAGAAAGTATTACTGAGAATCCAGGATGTGTCGTGCAGCACCCTTAATGATTTTAAGTTTCGTCCTAATGAAAAGATTCGAATGTAATGCTTTCTAGTAAATATCATAAGATGAAGGCATGATGTCACGACCCAAACCCGCCTTTATGGGTTTAGCACTGTAACCGGCCAGTAATCCAAGATTACCGAAGGCCTGGTTAACAGTAATACAGTAATACAGAGTACAGGGGCTGGCGGAAGCCAATACAGTAAATAAACAATAACCAATGAGCTGTGACAGTCTGTATGCAAAAAGACTTTTTATTTCAATATAGACAGTCAGACAAAACAGTATGTACATATATACAATCACTCAGTTCAGGGACCTAATCCCTATTAAACAGTACAGTAACAGTCTATACAGATATGCAAAACAGATACAGAGACAGACGGGGAAATTAAAAACACCCCTAAGCCGTAGCTCGACAGGCTCGGAACCTCGCATTTAGGCACATAGGTTGGCTCGACAAAACTGGAGTTTACCCCGACGCTTCTAGCTGCGGTCTGGTGCCTGTACACCTACATATATATATGAGTAGTGAGCTAAAGCCCAGTGAATAACACAATGCGTAAAGGGGTTAAGAATTAATGTCCTTACAGTAATGACAACAGTTCATTAGTTCAGTATATCAGTCATTCAATCATATGTGGTACATCCATTAGCATAACAGTACAGTAAACAGTAGGTCTTAAAAGACCGAACAGTAAATGATGGCCATCAGTCAGTAACAGTAGTGGTTCCAACGAGGGAACCAACAGAGATCTCTGTAACAGTAACAGTAAACAGTAGTTGCTAAGGATGCCACAGTACAATTCAGAATATAGGACATACATTCATTCAATTAACAGTAACGGTTCAGAAAGCAGTACAGTTCAGTTGTTCAGAAGATAATCATTTTGAACATATCTTTACACAGTTGTTACTTACAGAGTTATGGGCTATAGTAAAGCTAGAGCGCGTCCCCAGTCGCCAACCCTACACAGTTACAGATTGAACACACACTAAGCTACACAGTTGGAAAAGATAACAACTTAATCTCTAATTTGCCTCGGTGTGGTTCTACATCTATATCCTCATTAAGATGCCCTAAATTAGGCCTAATAATGCCTAGGATGAGATGAGGATGCAAAGATGCACTTTAAAAACATTTTCAGAATTTTCAGAAAATAAGGGTCACGCTCGAGCGTAGGTTACTCCGCTTGAGCGGACATGCAGACAAAGGTTTCCGCTAGAGCGTATACTTACCCGCTCGAGCGTTCTGCAAAACAGTCAAAAGTGCTGGATAGGTGAAAATCACGCTCGATTGGGCGCTCGACACCCGCTCGAACATGAGACACAATGTCCCGCGCGAGCGTCAATTCTTCCGCTCGAGCGGACTTCAAAACAGAATAAGAATGCTGGGAGCACGATTTCCACGCTCAAGCGCCAGTCACCCCGCTCGAGCGTGAGTCCAAATTCTGGAAATTCCAGATTTGAACCTCAAGCTCAAAACCAAGTTTTAAACCATAAATTTCGATCCTCTTGGGCCAATTTTTCAGAAAACACATCAAAACTCATACTTTAACATGATTCAAAGCTCAATTTGTAAAATCAAAGCCCAAGGGTGTTTCAAATGAATCCAATTCAAACCAATTTCCATGAATATGGAGAACATGCAAACATGCATGAATTTAAATCATTTCAAAGCTTTAAATACAAGCTCAAATGAGCTAAATCTTACAAAAACAAGATGAAAACATGGTTTATGACCAGAACATGGACATGCATGTGGCAAATTCATGAAGAACAAGCTCTAAAATGCAAGAGTATGCCATGCATGCAAAGATTAAGCTTCAATTTAACACTTTCGAACCAATTCATGACTTAACTCTTTATTCTACCATGATCCATGCTAGAAGGAACTTAAATACACAATAAGGAGAATGAAATTCATACCTAGGTTCCTCAATTACAAGTCTAGAGGCTCAATTATGCACTTAAGCTCTCAATTCTTCAAGATTCAAGCCAAACTCTCAAGAACAACTCAACTCTCTCTCACTCTCTATCTTGGTTGGCTAGCAAGGACAATGGGGCTGATGGAATGTTTTGATTCAATGTGTATACAAGGCTCAACAATAGTCCAAGTAGTGGGCCACTAGGTGACACTAATGTAAATAAGGCCAACTATGCAATTTAACTCGTTTTAATCTAATTTAATCATACCTAATCAGTTTTCAGATAAATATGCCATAAAATCTTACAAATTCTAACTAACACAGAACATTAATCAGTTTCAGATTCGGCCGCCGATAAGGCCTTCAATTCGCAATTTAACCATAAAAACACGAACAAATCAATTGACAATCAACAGATAGAAAATGCATTTAATCAGACACAGTCAATCAATCAGTTTCAGATTTCAGTCAGTCAGTTCAGTAGTTTATTCAGTTCACTTATCAGTCATAATCAGTTTCAGTTTAACGGTAATCAGTGGTTATTCGGTAAACAGTGACGAGAGTTGTTACACATGAGTATGAGGTTACAAGATCCCAAGTACATTAAGCTTAAGCATCGTGTTCCTCATCTTTCTAATGTGCTTAATGAAAGAATTAAGTATTATGTAGGGGACATGTACTTATTCTATCAATACTGACCAGCAAGGTCGTATTTGGCGTATTGTTAAAATGCGATCCAAACCTATCATGGTGAGGTTATTTCCAGACAAAATCATATTGAGAGCTCTGGACTATTGTTCTTCCAAAGCAGAAGGGAAGTCAATACGTCTTTCATTAAACTTTATCTTGCATTCATGATAGTCATCTTGTGCTCTTTACTTGATTTTTATTGTAGTTTTTATTCTCTCGAATCAAATCATAGTTCTGCAAGGGCATTCTTACTGCTGGTGAACCAATTTCTTACTGTTCTCCTTGACAGGTACTCGTATAATGAGGTGACGGGTGCATACGATGAAGTTCAGGAAGCTGCAACTGCAACCGACGTGAGCTGATGGATGGAGACACTAGGCTTGTATACTAACTACATATTGAGCAGTTTCTGTACAGACCAGAAAATTATGCTGTGTGAAATAGGGTTATGTAGACAGCGGGGCACCGCCTTTTCTTCTGTTATTTTCTTTTGAAACTTTTGATCTTGGTAATTGAGAAACCTTGCTTAATGTTCTATTGTGCACATGATGTGCTGCTTGCTAGATGCTTGCACAGGGGAGACTGGAGAAAGGGAGGCTGTGTTTGGCGGAGTTTGTAGAACAATTTTTTAAACATTGGTAGATGCTTGATTAGTTTATTGTTTGCAGAAACCGAGTTAAAAAAATTTGTTAGGGACATATTAGCCATACTGTCTATTTTTTATTGGAGTAGGTAAACAGTGAGATTATGGAAGAAATGCTACCTCAGAAATCGTTTACTACAGCACCATCCATCACCATCTAAACTAGATCTCTAGAAATCATTCAAGGTGTTGCGGAGGGCAATTGAGAAATGATCCATTTAAACAAATTCACATATATGTTCATTTTTCCAATGATAACCAAACCCAAAAATAATGAATTCTCTCATAAATGCTTAATTCATTTTTTATTTTCATGTTTTTTAGGAACCCAACCAAACAAATACAAGGAATCTAGCTCCTAACTGCTTCCATTTCATTTTTCTTGTTTTTTTGCTTTACTTTTGCTTTGACATGAACCAAGAACCAAACAAAACATAAAAATAAAGACCATGACATAATTTAGGCACATCAAGGAAATCTTTTTTATGTTTTTGATTCAAAGAAAGGAACATGAAGGAAATCTGCCATGTCAACAATAAAGAACACCAGTGTGAAAGAGCAAACTGATTAATATGTCTCACACATACAAGACTAAAAGTCAACACCAACCATTTTGAGCTAAAAAAGAGAAAAATGGCAATTTCTTACATCCAAAGTAGAGACTAACAAAAGTTTTCCACCTAATTTTGTACTAAAATTATAAAAAAAATTAAAATTAATATATTTTCAATAAATGAGCCGGTCAACTGGATGAGAGTTAAAATGTATCATTTCAAACACAATTCAAAAAATAAAATAAGCGCAAAATATCAGTCCAACTCAATTATAAGAGGCCAAAAATTGATCTCAAATGCTAAAAATACCAAGGTTAAAATATCAGTTCAATTCAATTATACAAATCAAAAATTGATCTCAATCACGAAAAATATGGGATTGAATTGGTTGCAGTGCCAAGGGCTTTTATTCATATCATTATTTTTAATATTTTTTTTGTGGACCTCACTTTAAGACTATAATTATAATCCGAACTATTCATCTCATAAATGTCACAATGAAGATGGTCAATACAAAAAATTAACTTAATCAAATATAAATAAATAAAATTTTGGAAAAATTACAAAAAAAAATCTCAGGGTTTAACACATTTTTCAAATTAAACCCTAGGTTTTCAATTTTGACAATTTGTATCTCACCATTCCACTCGTGTTTCAATTCGATCCTCCCGTCCATCTCCGTCTCTATTAGTTAATGAAAGACTGATTTGGACGCCAAAATTGTCCTAATCTGCAATATGATCGACTTCTTCAATACCTCCGGTATTCCATTTTCAATCGCTATCTCCTTTTTCCCAAAGCAAACCATCAAATTTTCAAAAACACTTCCAAAAAATAGCCAAAACACATTTTAGCTTCTGTATTTCTCACCATTGTGTGAAAACAAGCTCCGAAATTGTGAGAAGCGACGAAGACGTGGTCGGAGCCTCGGCTTCAGTTCCATAATGGAAGTTTCAATGAGTGACTCAAACAGGGCACGAGAGAGTAAATGGTTTTAGAGAGAGAAGCAGTGGTGGTTTGAGAGAGAGAGGTGGGCGGAGGAATGGTGGGTAATGGGGGAGAATGTGAGGAAGTAGGAAGAGGAGAGAGAAAACCATAGGACCCATTTGAGGTATCTGTAGCAATGGGTCTTTTTCTCTGTTTGTCTTCCATAATGCTTGGTGGTGTTGTGTAATTGTCTCATTCTTACATAGAATCCTCTGTTTTTGGAAGCTCTATTGAGCTATGCCATGTTCTTCTCTCTTAATAGTGTAGTTGTTGAGATGGGGCTTTCGGTTTTGTTCTCAGAGATGAAGTGGAGATCAAGAAACGGAGATTGGAGAGCTCGACTATTCTTGAACTCAGCCTTGATCTTCTCTGGCTGGAACAAATTCGAAGAGAGCTCAATGCTAGCATTGTAAGTTCTCCCAGTGTCCTCCTCATATTTCAATTCCTTCATTCATTCCTCCTTTATCAACACACTGTCATACTCCACCAAAAGCTTCATGTCTTCCTTCCTTCTCTATCCTCGACATCTCCATTCTTACGGACAAACTTCCCGATCCACTCTCTTCGCCGATACTTGAAATGGATTTTCCATGTATTATTGATTGCAAGTACCTTTAAAACACAATAAATTCAAAAATTGAACCAAATCAATTTCAAAAAACAAGTTTGATTTGTGGAACAATAATACTTGAGACTACTAATTAGTGGTGACACTAATGATGCGGCAATAGGCCTCACCCACTGCCACAGTGTTGCTGTGTCTTGTTTTTTTTTTTTTTTTTTTTTTTTTTTGATTTTTCACCTCATTAGTGGTGGTTTAATGGTACCAAATTAGTGATGCCAATCACTACTGTTTGTGAAAAGAGAGATGAGTATATGAATGGGGATTTCGGGTGAAAGAGCCGCCATGGTGTTGATAATGCAATTTGCTTCAAGTCTCTATGTTGCTAAGTTATGGTTTTTCTTGCTCTCCAATCCAATCCATGTTTGTTTCGACAAAAGATCAGATTACGATCCCACAACCACAAATCGTGAAGATTAGGGTAATGGAGGGGTGTCTTTTGTCCTAAATTATGAAGATTAGGACAATTTTGGCGCCCAAATCAGTTTTCCATTAACTAATAGAGACGGAGATGGATGGGGAGTCGGATTGAAACACGGGTGAAATAGTGGGTTACAAATTGTCAAAATTGAAAACCTGGATTTAATTTGAAAAAGACGCTAAATCATGAGATTTTTTTTTGTAATTTTTTCATAAATTTTTATTTTAAATATAAAAATAAAAAATAATTTATTTGTAAATCTTAAAAAAATTATTAACACATTACGAGATAAATAATTTGGATGACAGTTGTCAGTCCAGAATGAGCCCGTTCCCCCAGTGCACCAGACTCCCAATAGTTGTTATTACCAGCAGTAAGCGCGATAAGCAAAGCGAAGCCACCATCACAGGACAGATAGCGCGCACACACAAAGCACACCTCTCTTTTTAACTGACAAAAAACACTACTCCGCCATTTCTAGGGTTCCAATCTCTGGAAACATTCTAGAGAGAGAATGGAGCATCAGTTGCTACGAATTCCATGAATTTGAAACGAACTTTGATCTATCTCGGCTGGGGAGTGGAATCTAGAGAGAGAAAGTGAGGTGGAGTCATGACGGATGAGGGATCGGAGAGGGAAAACGGAGGTATATCGTCGATGGATTCGGTGGAATCTCGGTGGGTGTTTCAGGATCAGGACGAGTCGGAGATCGAGAATGACGAAGACGATGAGGATTTGCCGCCGCGGATGGGCATGATGGATTCGGAGGATGAGGATAATGCCGAGCAGAGATTGATTCGGACTGGGCCGAGGATTGATTCCTTCGATGTTGAAGCACTCGAGGTCCCTGGTGCACAAAGGAACGACTTCGAGGTACTTTTTCTGGTTCAGTTAGCTTATTTAGAATTTTATCGGATTAAAGATGTAAAATTGTTAGTATCATGAACTCCAATCTGTATTTACTTGCATTTACTTGCTGTTTGTTGCATGGAGAAAAAGGAAAGTGAATTATATCATATATTAGGCCAAAATGTTGTGATGTTATGTACTAAGACTAAAAAGCAAAACTCACCTAAAATTAGTTCTCTTCTTGTATGAGCTTAATTGGGGTAAATCTTTTCGCACACCATACTTTATCTCGGCACACAACACTTGTCCGGTTCAGATATTAACTTCTGAATAAATAAATAAAAAAATTTGAATACCAATTTCCGAACAAAAACCAATTGTTTGAACAAAAATCCCGTTCGATAGTTGTTATCCAAACATTTGTATTTTCTTTGGAAGTTGATTTCAAAAGACACAAATTGTGTGTGCTGAGACAGTGTAGTGTGCAAATAGAATGGGAATGGTCCATAAGGACTAATTTGGACTTTTATTTGTTCTCCTTGTTTTTCTTTCTGATTGAATGGATTATGGATAGGAAATAGAATCAACCCTATTTGGTTATACTTAGTGTTCATGTAATAGAAAGTAGAAAAAAAAAATAAAAAAATTTACTATGAGCTTTAATAACATTATATTTTGGGATAATTACATGGACTTCACTTGAGGCTTCCATGTAGTTTTTGAAATACATTATTCTGTGCTGTTTATTTTGACAATATATGGGGATTTCTTCTATGTTGAATCACCATTAGAGCAGTTAACAGAATTTCCCAATGTCAGTAACTTTAATAACAATAGAAGTAGATATAATAAAGAAGTGAAAATTAAAAATCAGAAGTGAACATTCGTAGAACTAAAATGGAATATGTGGAATTTAAATTTAGTAATAATAGAAGTAAAAATAATGGAGAAATGAAAATTGAAAACCAAGAGTGAACATTTTTGTTACTTAGGTTCAGTTATTAATAAGGATTGAGAGGTTGGAGATGATGTGATCCATAGAATCAAACTAATTTGTCCAAGTGGAGAAGTGTCTGACGTATTATATGATCGACGAACACCAACAAAATTGAAAGAAAAATTGGAAAGCTCCATTTTAACATAAACACTTTCTAGCTTTTAAAGTTGTTGAGTTATACTTGTCAATGGGGCCACCATCATTGCTAGAGGTAGAGATGTAAGAAAAATCAATGGAACTGAGGCGACCAGTTGAAACTAACTGAAAATTCAATTTTGGTCTGTTTTTCGTAACATATGCCCTGTTTTGGTTTTGAAAATTATTATATTGATGCAAATTATTTAAATACTTTTATATTATGATTTCTTGAACATTATATGATAAATTATATGGTAAGTAATTAATATAATACATTTCTATGATAAAAACTAGGGAAAAAAACGTTTATAGAGCAATTTTCATACATTTATTTCAATGTAAAATTCTATTATCTACTATAAAACCCTTTAACACCTCATGCAATTTTTTCTTCTACAACAAACTGACAAAACCAAATCATAGCATACGGTCTGTATCGGTTTCTTAATCATGAAAACCGACAGGATCAATTCGGTGCTAAATATGCCCTCAATACCGACTGAACCAAACTGTTTACACCCCTAGACAAAGGCTTGTGGAAGATATATCCCCTTTGATCACAAGAAGAAGTTATTTTGCTCTTCTGATTAGTTGGCAGTTGTTACTTGCCCACCAGGTCGTCCAATGTGGCCGTGCTAGTAAAGGGAGGAGCCTTGACTCGTTGTCTTGTAGACTTTCATATATCAATATTTTGCTTGCTGCTTCTTCTTTGCTCCCACTTTATCTAAGGAGTGTTTTCTTTGTACATTTTCTTCCTTCTTTATAGTTTTTGTTGCATGAGATAACTTGTTTAGGAATTTGAGACAAGATTTGAGTAAATCTAATGTAGGGCGCAGATTAACACGCAAGGAGTAGTTGATTAAATTTTAAAATATGATTGCAGGATATCAATGTGGGAAGGAGAATAATACTGGCTTTTCAGACACTTGGGGTTGTTTTTGGTGATGTTGGAACGAGTCCATTATATACCTTCAGCGTGATGTTCAGCAAGGCCCCTATCAATGGAAATGAAGATGTTATTGGAGCATTGTCACTGGTTTTATACACCTTAATTTTGATCTCTTTAGTCAAGTATGTCCTTATAGTTCTGTGGGCCAACGATGATGGTGAAGGTATGCTGGATGTTGGAAGTCAAACCTTCTGTTTTATGTCAATTTGAATAGATTCATCTCCAAAGTAATCTTCTATAGGTGCTTCTCTTTATGGTGCATATAAATAAGTACTTTTTTTGGTTTTTTTGGAAAAGTAAGAAGTCTTATTATAAACAAAACGCCAAATAGGGGGAACTCTACACATTCGAAAAGGCTATTTACTATATGTACATCCACGGTTATGTGTTCATGTTTCTAATAACTTGGATAAAAGATAAAATGGAGAATGGACCGGAGCAAAATTCATTTTAGATTATGGGTAACTCAATACTATTGAAAGTCTTTTTATTTTGTTTCTTTTGTGCACTCCACAACACACCCAATGGTGCAGCGTCAGCCTGCCATGCCGTCCTAATAATCTTCTGTGGACATCCAACATACCATCTAGTAAGCAATTTCCCACTGAAGATGGCATCACTCCAGCAAGACAAAAAAACTAATACACTATTCTATAACTCACTTGCCATTGGATGATGAAGCAAAAGCTAAGGTGCACTTTCCTCTACACCCTTGCTCACGCAACCCCAATCACTAATCACTTGTATTCATAAGATTGTCTTTAGTGAGGATGGCCTTATGGATAACTGCCTATGTATAAATAAAAAAAATTAAAATAAAATAAAAATTAAAAAATAGAAAACCTTAGGAGGGATCTCTCATTTCTAAATGTCTATCCAAGGAAGGAAAATGCATCTCATACCCTACAAATCTTGATAGAAGGATTGAATTGGTTACACCACTTTCTTTGAGCTGGGCCACAACAAGAAACTTTAATTATCCTCTCTAACTCTAGAGTCCTAAAAAATAAAAAAAATGTCTCTATGGACTGTATCTCCAGTCTTCTAAGGCCCTTCTAAATTGTGGATTCCACACTTCTCTGCCAGACACCTCCAAGTAATCTTGAACTCGAGCATTTCTGTCCACCACCAAAGAGAACAAGTCAGGGAACACCTCCCTCAGTGGTACTGTTTGGAACAACAATCCCTTCGTGTAAAAAACCACTGGCCAACCTGCCTGTGAAAATTCAATACATCAAAAGTTTAATGCAGAGAGTAAAAGACTCAACTAAATGACTTGCTAAGTTACTACTCAACATTAGATTCGTTAACCTTAATGTCTTCCCCTTAAGTGGCTCTAACTCTGCTGTCAGCCTTGTCTAAATCTGGGCTCCTTGCAACTTTGATCATGATCGGCTAGTTGACAGGAATAACCAATGATGTAAGAGTGATTGAAGCGCATATGATGTGAGTGATATTTGCAAAACAATCAAAGAAGAGTTTTTCTCAATTCAGTTCTTAAGCATAAGTAAAAACAAATCTTCTTCTCTGAATCAATATGAATTAGGTCTCCTAGGTATTGGAGGGCTTTGGAGAGGCTAGGTTTGCTCATTATTGTTTCTTTTGTGTATTAAAAGTTTAGAACTGAAAACCTCTAGCTCTATTTATAGTTTGTTAAAAAATAAAAAATTCAGGTTCAAATTCAAAAAATTGTCAGCTCTCTCGAGCACATGTCAAGTAGTGCACTAGCTTGAGGATTTTTTTACGATAAAGAAAAGACAACTCCGCTCGAGCATACTTTGAGTGTGTGATTCGCCTCTCTGGTGCTATCTTGCACACAGACACCACACTTTTCATGCCTCTTCATCGCTAGCCTGCTTGAGCGGGCTTCAAGCTAGCTTCACACAAAGCACATTATTCTTGATCAAATAGCCCCGTTTTGAAATGTTTTCAACAACAAAGTGCACATGACTAAGCATAGGTCACTCTGGGCTGATTTTGTGATATAAAAAGCACTTTTGTCCTAGACTAATGCAACATGCTCATGTTGTTATGCCTGAGATCGAATCAGAGCACACTTTGCATTGTCTCTGAGCATTTTTAATCTTGTACACTCAACACATATATTCTTAACCTAGACATCAACAAGCGTTTTGTGTATTGAAATTGCCAACACACTAAATGCTAAATCATGTACTATTCACCATGATGAAAACCAGTACCATTTTTTGATTTCTTGATTTTTAATCATTACAGGTGGTACATTTGCTTTGTACTCGTTAATTTGTCGGCATGCTAAGGTCAGTCTTCTCCCAAATCAACTACCATCTGATGCACATTTTTCAAGCTTCAGACTAAAGGTGCCATCTCCAGAACTTGAGCGGTCATTAAAAATAAAGGAACGACTTGAAACTTCTTCGACACTGAAAAAGCTGCTCTTGATGTTAGTTCTTGCCGGTACTTCTATGGTGATAGCAGATGGGGTTGTTACACCAGCGATGTCAGGTTGTTTTATGAACAGTTTTTTTTTTTTAAAAAAAATTTATTATGGTTTTGTAGCAATAAAATGATAAAAACGGAAGGAAAAAAGCAAAAGGAAAGTTGTTATATATATAATTTTTTGGAAAAATGTGTTTGCACCATCATTTAAAGGTGATGTTATTATTGGATTTTTATTTGTTCTTGTGGTTTCTTGCTGCAGTGATGTCTGCTGTTGGTGGTTTAAAAGTTGGAGTATCTTGGATTAATCAAGGTGACATGAAATAATAGGATATGTGAACCTAACCTACAATGACCTTTAGTTTTATTTTATTTAATTTACTATTTTTAATATATAGTTGTCCACGTGATAATAGTATTATTTGAGGTCTGGCATATTTCTAATTCTTGATTCTGTCAGTAGCCTCTTGATCTTTTCTTGGTAGTAAATGTCGCTCTTGCAAGATAAAAGGGAGGCGGTTATTGGCAAATTTGTCATGTGAGGCCCTTGCAGTTTGGTAAATAAAGGTTGTTGCCGAAAGTGTGATACCAAAAAGTCATGGAAGTAACTGGTCACACTGTAATTCTCTGAATAGTAGTACCAACTTAAGATTGTTGCCGAAGGGGTGGGGAGGCTTCATGACAGGAACCTGGCAAAACTTTTTTTAGTTATCAGAGGAATTTTTTTTCTGAATTAAATAATTAATATGACAAGCAAATTTATTAAAAGAAAATAAAGTGTAAGGCCTAGTATATGTGGGTTGTACAAAGACCTCAAGAGTCAACCTAAAAAATGACCTTATAAATTCTATAAAAAGATTCTTCTTGAGTTATAGGAAGGGGAGTATCAGGTTAATATGTTGATGACTCGCTTAAAACCCTCCATTACACTGCCCTTGTGGGAAAGTAATGATAAAGGAAAATTATAATGAGAGCTCGAAACTTTTAACCTAATAAGAGAATGAAATTTACCAGTTAAAAATGGGTAATTTGGTTTTTTGTAACAACTAAAATAGTTCATATAAAGCTCGAAAAGGAGTGCACCCTGAGCTTTAAATTGGTTTTAAACTTGTCACATACATTCTAGCTTGACCTTTAAACTTCTGCGCCCCATGTAATGTTAATGATAACTGGGCTGCTTTTAGAAGAGTTCTTTGCAATGTTTTGAGGGCTTTGTAATTTGTATGTTGAATGGAATTCTCTTAGTTATTGACATGTGTGGGACAAACATTTAGGCCAGTCCTCCAGAATTTTTATGAACTACTGATCTATTGCTTCCTTTTACTGAATACATATGTATATATATATATTGTGTGAAACTAGATTTAAATTTTTGTTAATTTTTTGTCATATCCCTAATTATAGATTTATGAACTTGCAAAATCTTATTTTTGGATTTTTGAACTTAATTAACTGTATCATTGCAACTTGGGTTGCTCCCTCATCTTATTCTTGGTTTATTTGTGTAGTTATTTATATATTTTTTTCCATCAGCCTAATTGCAATGAGAATTCCAACTTCTTGCACTGCCATTGTACTAAAAGGCATGCCTTGTATCACAGATGAAGTGGTGATGATTTCGGTTGCGTTTCTAGTGATTTTGTTCAGTGTGCAGAGGTATGGGACAAGCAAAGTTGGTCTTGCAGTTGGCCCAGCTTTATTCATATGGTTTTGTTGTCTTGGGGTTATTGGCATCTACAACCTTATAAAATATGACAGCAGTGTCTTGAAGGCATTTAATCCTGTTCACATCTATTACTTTTTCGAGAGGAACTCAACTAAGGGTTGGTATGCCCTTGGGGGCTGTCTTCTGTGTGCAACAGGTAAACAAGGATTCAGGAAGCTCAGATCTTTGGGAACTTAATATCCACAATTTGTACAGAAAAAGAAATCAAAAGATGGAAAATAGAGAATGATGGATTTAGTTGTGTTATTTATGTTTTCTTTTTGCATTCTGATGGATGATTCAAATTTAGGTTCCGAGGCAATGTTTGCAGATCTTTGCTACTTTTCTGTGAGATCGGTTCAGGTAAAGTAGTAACAAAGAAAATTTACTGGATCACCTTTACAATATGTTTAAAAATGACAATTATGGGTGCCAGTTCTCTTCTCCATCACTGTTCCGTGGTGTTCAGATTGGCTACTTAGCATACAATATTGGTTGTTTGCAGCTTACATTTGTTTGTCTTGTACTGCCTTGCCTTCTTTTGGGATACCTGGGTCAAGCTGCATTCCTTATGGACAATCATGACAGTACTGCACACCCTTTCTTTACTTCTATTCCAAGTAAGCTTCATTCCTTTATTTCTTTCAATTTGTAAGGTCCATGCATTTATTTTTTCACTTTTGGGCTCCGATTTTTATTTGGAAGACCTATTTATGATAAAATTCCCTGATTCCTAGATGCAGTTTGTATTTGGACAGAACAGTTTTCCATCTCTCTTTTACATTTTGGGAAGTTGATTTTGTATTCATGTAGGGGCATTGTATTTTCATGCCTATATTGTAAACTAAACAATTACTAAGCTGAGAAATTGTACATTGTGTCTGCAGGTGTTGCTTTCTGGCCAGTCTTTCTCATTGCTAACATTGCTGCATTAATTGCTAGCCGAGCAATGACAACAGCAACATTTTCTTGTATTAAGCAATCAACATCACTTGGTTGTTTCCCTCGCCTTAAAATCATTCATACATCTCGGAAATTCATGGGTCAGATTTATATACCAGTCATAAACTGGTTTCTGCTGGTATTTGCCATAGTGTTTGTCTGCTCTATCTCAAGCATTAATGAGATGGGAAATGCATATGGTAGTACTTATTCTCTCTTTTCTCTGAGTTTCATAAATATGTTGTACATATTTTGTTGTGGTCTTTAGTTTCTCTCTACAACTCTCTCCCTCTCTCTCTCTCTCTCTCTCTCTCTCTCCTTGGGCTAAAAATAAAACTGAACGAGATTTATTTAAAAAAACAGAGAATCTAATAGTTGAAAAGCAAATCTGAATTCAAGATCTCCACTTCACATATTCATAAGCATCCTCTCTGTACAGCTTACCAATAAGCCCTAATCTCTATTTTGAATCCACTATTTTGGCAGTTACCGTAACGGCATCAAGAATTTTCCTTCCACCCATATATGCATTTTGTGAGTTTGATACTACATTGCTAAAAAAGGGACAAGTTTTATGTCTCATTTTGTTAGGAAACATATCTCCATATCCTTTCATCGCAAGATCTAATGATGCATTTTTATCTACCACTAAATGGAAGAAGCAAGTTACCATTTGGCATTAGCTTTCAAGCAATTTTAGTTAAGCTACCACAAGAGCAATATCTCCAACTAAAGCAGTAACTACTAAAAGCCATGTGGAACAGACTAGCATATCCACTTACTGCAAGGTGCTGGTAACATGGAAACATTTTTTAGCTTTTGTTTTTCAAATTTCTATTTTTACTAGTATTTGCTAAGCCACCATGTATGACTTGTATTGATGATTTAAGTAGGAGGTGATTGCAAGTTTCTATTTCTACATAATAAAATGTCTTATCTCTTTCTATAAGCATGTATGCAAGCTATTGTCTTGTCTAATGGTGATTCTGCTTTACAGGCATTGCTGAGCTCGGAGTTATGATGATGACTACTGTCTTAGTTACCCTTGTTATGCTTCTTATATGGCAGATAAACATTATTATTGTGCTGAGTTTTGCTGTTATTTTCTTGGGGATGGAATTGACATTCTTATCATCAGTTTTGTGGAGCAGCGTGGCAGATGGAAGTTGGATCATATTGGTTTTTGCCGCAGTTACGTTTCTTATAATGTACATCTGGAATTATGGCAGCAAGCTTAAGTATGAAACTGAAGTAAGGCAAAAATTGTCAATGAATTTGATGCGTGAACTGGGTTGTAATCTTGGAACAATTAGGGCTCCTGGAATTGGCTTGCTTTACAATGAGCTGGTGAAGGGCATACCAGCAATATTTGGGCATTTCCTAACCACTCTTCCAGCTGTCCATTCCATGATCATTTTTGTGTCCATAAAGTATGTTCCTATTCCTGTAGTGCCTCAGAGTGAAAGGTTTCTGTTCCGGCGTGTCTGTCCAAAAAGCTACCACATATTTCGTTGCATTGCCAGGTGACTATTTCAGTTTCTGCAAATAAATTTTTTTCCCCATTAGATTTGTGGATCCCATAAGATCCCTTGTTTTGGACCTCTCTCTCTCTCTTCTTTTTTTTTTTCTCCCTCTTTTATCTACTAGTTATTCACTTATATTTTTTCTTTGTTTTTTTTAATGACTTACTAGTTAAAGGGGATTCATGCTCGTGGGCATGATCCCAACTGGGTATTATCATAAACTAGTCTCTATGACAGTACACAAATATGTATTTTATATATATATATATATATTCATGCGGTTATCTTTTTGCCCAATATTTACAACTTGCAAATCAACCCCACCACTATTACTTTACAGGTATGGCTACAAGGATGCTCGCAAAGAGAATCACCAAACATTTGAGCAGCTTTTGATTGAGAGCCTAGAAAAATTCATTCGCAGGGAAGCCCAAGAACGGTCATTGGAGAGTGATGGAGATGATGATTTGGATTCTGAAGATGATCACTCTTCCTCCAGAGTTCTTATTGCTCCCAATGGTAGTCTTTATTCACTTGGTGCCCCTCTCCTGGCTGAATTCATGGACACAAGCAAACCCATCTCAGAAGCAAGCACTTCAGGAGAGGTGAGGGGTGAGCTGTCCACAGACCCAACTATACATGATACAGAGGATAGTCTTGAAAGAGAGTTGTTTTTCATTAGACAGGCCAAGGAATCGGGAGTGGTTTATCTTCTTGGTCATGGAGATATTAGGGCAAGGAAGGATTCTTGGTTCATTAAGAAGCTAGTCATAAATTATTTTTACGCTTTCTTGAGAAAGAACTGTAGGAGGGGGGCTGCGAATTTGAGTGTTCCCCGCTCACATCTGATTCAGGTTGGCATGACTTACATGGTTTGAAACTGCAATCAACATGAGGAAAACTTTATTTACTTTTGGCTTCAAGTTTGACTGAAAGTGAGTTCGTTCCATGAAAAGGCTGACATGGGTTCCACGAAAAGGCTGACATGGGTGACTGGCATGTCCTCACAGTGATACAGGTTACATAAACGAATTTGAGCAAATGTTTGCAAATGTTCTTCACTGCTTATGTCCACCACAATTAAAAATCTGGCAATTTTGTAGCTGCTGGTCTTGTTGATTGGAAATCTTTCTGTGCTTACATTTTTGTGGGGTTGTGCATTCAATTGTGCATTTTATATTGTTGATGTTATTTGAATGCAATTTTGTAGCTGCTGGTCTTATTTGATGTTATATTGTTGATGTTATTTGGTTTGCTGTCAATACAACAGCAGAATCTGTGATAAAGCAAGGTTGTGTATTTTTACCTGTAGAGACATGAAAATATTGGACTTCTTGATGTTGTTTCCATTGTAGGATGTCTGCCTGGCTGCAGTGAGCAAGCTCGCTTTCTCTCTCTCTCTCTCTCTCTCAACTGTACCTATGCTTTGAATGTTCTTTGACATGCGTATAGACGTTCAAAGATAAGCTTTAACTAACTGAAACTACTATTCAAACATTCAATTTTTGGAGTAGCTGAAATTGAATGTAAAATATTTTCAGCTGAAAACTATTTGGAGTAGCTGACACTATTTTACATTCAATTTTTTCAATGTCTAGTACTTACCATTTCCATCGAAATATAAGCTTTAACTATCTGTAAGTAACAATGAAATTAATGAAATCAAACAGGTTAACAAACAAATAGGAAGATCCAGCAAAATACACCTAGTAGAGAAAAACTTTCATTCTCGTGTGCTTAGATCTATACTCTTTGGGGAGGGATACACTTCATTGTCATCCCAGAAAAACATTCGCTTTATTTACATAGCAGAAAAATTACTCAAAATTTTGTCTATAGAATTGTAAAATTTAATTGATCAATACAAAAGAATATGGAATGCTCTCTCTCTCTCTCCATTGTTGCGTATCTTTGTTTAGTTGCAGTTATTGTCAATGTCAGAGTCTGGGCAGCACCTGGGTTCTAGAAATGATCCATCTTGATTATTGTGAATTTTCTTATCTACCAGCAGTATTATGGGTTCTTCAATTTGTATTTTTGGTCCACAAAGTCAAAGTTTGAATGGTCTTTGATCTTCAGCAGATCCGCACTATTCTGTTTTGTATTGAATTTAAACCTAAGAAGCAATGAATTTGTCATCACACCAATCGAGCTCAAACCCATAAGGGCTCCGGCAATTGATGGAGTCAACATGGTCCCTGTCACTGGCAGCAACATTCCAGCTGCAATTGGAATTCCAACCTGTTATGTTTTTTTGAAAAAAAAGAAAAAAAAGAAAAAAAAAAGAGAAAGATAGAAAGACAAAGAAGAAGGGTGAGAGAGCATCAAAATGTGGTTTAGAGGGTGGCAAAGCGAACAGAACTTTGCCATATAACTAAGAACAGAAAATAGCGGTAAAAATCAACATCCCAACTAACAAGCATTTTTACCCAGAGAGAAAAAAAATGTAACTTAGAAAACAAATCAAAATACAGAAGAATAAAAAAATGGAAAGAAAAGCAAAACTTGATAAATTGTTGAACTGTTATCAAGACAAAATAGTTATGTTTTTCATCATTCATTATTCATTACAATCATCTTCTAGAAAATAAACTTCTGCAACCATGATGGTAGAAGAACACAGAATAACACTGCACAATAAGCCAGGTATTTTAGTTTTAACCTGGAAAAGTTTCTAGAATAGAATGATTTATTGTGTGTCTATCTGTAAAAAGGTTTAAAATAGATATATATTATAAAAAAAAACCCAAAAAAACATAAAAAAATAAAAAATAGAATGGCCAAAAAGGGTTCTCAAGGCCCAACGATGCCAAACTTTTTATGGTAAAACCCATAAACATGTGGCTCCCAGTTTGCAATGTGAATGGCTTAAAAAGTGAGATAAAAGTAAAATTCAAGGAACAAGGTACTGAAAACAGAATTTCAATTTGAGGCACCTAGTCAAGAGTTCATGCTACTGTGGGAAAGGAATTGTAAAATTTCAAGCAAAAAATACAGTAAAGTCGTACCACATTATCAAGGGAACCCATGCCACAATCAACCAATTAACTACTTGGATGATAAACTGCAGATTTTATTTATTAAATTATTTTGGAGAGGTCTCTCTCTCATCTTAGAAAGAATCCACAACAAAGTAGAGACAGTATTATCAAGAGCAATTAGTGTTTTAAGAGTTTGGACCCTTTGAGTCTGCCAGTGACTCTGTAACCAAGTTTGGCAAAATCAATTCAAACAGTATTAGTCTACGGAATCAAGACTGAAAAAAGCTTTAGCATTTGTTCAATAATTCTATGTCGTCTTTTTTTTTATCAAGAATGAGAATCAACCGAAGACACAGTCCTAAACCTAAAACACTACATAAGTTTGTAAAATTGCAAAAGAACTTGGAAATTACCATGTTATATGCAAAGGCCCACCAGAGATTTTGCTTCACAGTCTTCATAGTTAATCTACTAAGCTCCAGGGCGTCAAGCAACTGCATGGAGGTGATTTACATTAAAAATATCATACTGTAATCAAATCGTCATAACAAGATGAAGAATGCTGAAGCAGTAATACAACAAAGCATATACATTGATAAGCAACAGTATTTGGACCCTACTTTTCTTCCCAAACCCATATCTAGGCCTGTACACGGGTCAAGTCAGATCGGTTTTACCATCCATTCGACACTTGACCTGACCAGATCAGCTTGAAAGAAAACCCATCCGGTTCCGACCTTTATGTTGTTCGAAACTGCACAAATCGGATTTCTCGGTTTGCCAGTCGGATCGAGTGAAACCGTGTAGCAAGCATGTGCATCATACTCAGCCAAAAAAACAGAAAACAAATACAGAGGTAACAAACCTATATCAAATATCTCACAAAAATGCAATTTCAAAAATCATCTCATTTGGGTTAGTGTCTAATTACATCTCATCAAAAAGTGATTTAAAAAAAAACAAGGGTGAATTTTAGGAGTGAATCAGTGATAAAATGATGAGATAGATGAAGAAGGAGATACAAGAGCAGAACTGGTTCATCACCATATACACCATCACCGCTCTCATCACAAATCTGAGCACCATCGTTAGTCTTTCAAATCTCAGTACCATCGTTAGTCTTTCGAATCTGAGCACCTTTGTCATCGTCTCAAATCAGAACACCATCGGCAGAGGGAGATTAAAAGGAAAAGGGGCTTCTGTGAGGAAGATGAGAGGGTGAGAGTATGGGCTTCTGTAATAGAGGGTGAGAAGGTGGGAGTATGAGAGTATGTGAGGGAGATTAAAGGGTGAGAGAGATAATGTGAAAGTATGAAGAATGCAGGTGATATGGCTTAGAGTCTTGGGAAGATAAAAGAAGACTCAGATTTTTGAAAAGATAGATGTAATCAATGAGTCAAATACGTGTAAAAATAGTTTACCAAAAAAATAAAAATAAAAAAATACGTGTAAAAGTATGAGGGATGGAAGAGATAAATGCTTGGAGTCTTTGGGAAGATAAAAGCTCAGAGATAGGACTCAGCTTTTTGGAAATATAAGATGCAATCAATGCATCAATACATGGCAACCTCAGCACCATGTATAATTGTCGGTTCGGTTTGGGTTAGACGGATTCTCCACTGCAACACCCGTGACTCGACCATTCAAGTCACGGATTTGTTGATTCCAACTCGATTCTGACTGTGGAGGATTCGAAACTGCCTGTGAAACCTTCGGATCGGTCGGTTTGGTTTGGTTTTTTTGCGTGGTTTGGTTATTTGAACAGCCCTACCCATATCTACTAATTTACCAAGCATTGGTAAACGCACTTATGGTTAACCCTAACCCATTCTTGACTAATGTGTGCTGAACTTATAAAGTTCTATATCATAGGAAATGTATGGCCATTCATGATATGAAGGCTAGACTTGCAAAAATGACCCGAGTATGCAGGTCAGACAAAATACAGACACAAACAAAACTAATAAATTTTCAATTTAGTCATCAAATCTGTCCTACCATAAGCTAATCAAATCAACAACCTAAAGTCAATCAAATCAAACTTGATGCTAAACAAAATCAACTCACTGGGAGAAACTCCTTAAAACAGAATTAACAAAACAAGTCTTGTCATCTGATGCTTCCTAGCATTTCTTGGGTAAAGACAAGTTTGATAAATTGCCACATTGCATATACATGTCGAATTTGTCAGCTATTTGGGTGGGTGTTTAATTTTGCTCTGAATCTTATGCATGAGAATCCAGAATCAATTGGCACTATTCCCAAAAATCTGATTGGAAATCAGCAGACAAAATCCAAGCAATTCGATTCCACACTAATCTGACAAGTAAAACAAGTGATAAGAATGAAAAAGTGACACATCTCAACAAGGCTACGAAGTTGGAAATGATGAAGTATATACCTGGGACAGCCTGTTGCCCATCAACACGATAGAAGACACCTCACTAGCAGCTCCAACGCCTCCACCCATGGCAACTCCTACATGTGCAGAAGCTAATGCAGCAGCATCATTGATTCCATCACCAACCATAGCCACTATGTTCTGATCCTTTTGAAGTTGTCTTATGAACTTTGTCTTTTCATCTGGTTTGACTCCAGATAGTACCTGCAATCCCCAGCATCTTTTTTATGCAAATATTCTAATATTCTAACATGTCATTCATACTACAAAGCATTCAAGCATGCCTTATGCTATTGTTCTAGAAGCTTAAGCTCTCACATACTCAGACACATACTACTTCCACCAAATGGAGTTAATTGTAGAGCATATGGTTGATCAAATTACCAACTGAGTTATTCAGAGTTGAACCAAACACAAAAAGTTGTGCTAACTTCTGTACCTAATATAGGATACATCCATCATGGAGAAAGATTGAGAAATCCCAGAATAGACACTCCAACCAGAAGCCACGATTGAGGGCTCCTAATGGAGTAATGGTAAGCCAAAAATGTGGAGTATTAAATAAATAATTACAGCCCATGATTCTCTCATGTATTGAGAAAGTAAACAAACAATGAAATTCCACAATAATTTAACAGTGAAGGAAAAGAAGAATTTTATTTTCAACTAAAAACCATGATCCTTCAAATTAAGCAATTTGAGGTTATATAAGCTGGCTCTTTCCCATCTTCAGCAGTAGTTTCTACCTTAGCTGGTCTCACTGTGTTTCATTCTAATTTTTCTTCCTTTATCTAATACAGAACTCATAAACACTGTCTTCATAGTAGGGTCTCTAAGTCCCACTCTGCTCTTGAATTTAACAATTATATTTATAAAGGTCAGATTTCCTCAACCCTGAGATTCAGGTGTTTACTCATAAAGAAGTGGCCTAAATAGGAACGAATGAAAAAAATAAAATTCTTACCTTTTCCCTTGGAATTCCAACTTTGGATGCAACATATTCAGCAGTACTCCTTTTGTCCCCAGAAAGCATATATAGGCTGACACCTTGCTTATGCAAGGATTCAACAACATGTCTAGCATCTTCTCTGATTTGATCCTCAACATAAATAAGACCCGCTAGAGTACCATCTACTCCCACATAGACAACTGATTGATTCTTAAGTTCCTCCACTTCTTGAGATAAATACTGACCAACTCCATGCCTGCAGGGTTGAAAATAAGAATATAATGACAGTGGATCTAAATAAAACGAACTCTATACGTTATTTTAAAAAATAAATTGTTGCTTCTTCATTCACAGGAAAGTAATTTATGCTCAAAAGAAATCACAAAACAAAGAACATTTTCCTCCATCAAAAGAAATTCCCAATGCACAGTAAAGTATTCCCAAGTAAAACTGCCATGCCAGCTAAAATGAGGAAATCAATGACTTTACATACCTTCGAACCCAGTCCACTGTCCCGACAGACACCTTTTTATTCTCAATAGTTGCTACAGCACCAGACCCAGGCTCCTCCATGAATGATCCATCTACCACCTGCAAATTCAATTCCCTTCATAGTCAGACATCCATGATCTCATTGCCACAAAATGATGATGACTGAAAGACACTGCAATGACTTTCTTTTTTCTTCAAAGATGCAATGCTACAACCGAATGTATTATGGAAACACAGTAAAATGAAAATAGAAATTTTTGTGTTGCGCGTTCATCATCTCACTATGACAACAATTAACTGGGGAAGCAGAGGAGATGAGCAAAACAATATATAAATGTAGTTGTGGGCATACTAAAACATGCAATGCTACTCTTCAACCAGATATTTTGGCTGACATAGTTTTTGAAAACATAAAAAGTCTGGTGGTCCAATTTTGGAGAGTATTTGCTTGTCTGACATATTTGCTCGAAGCTGTTTGTTAGCTGTGGTTACACATGTTCAAATCTCCAATGGATGCCACAAGATCTTCATGAACTTGAGATCCACATGTCAGCTTGGTGAGGTCACGTGAATCAATCAGATATCTCCACATGCTCCCTTCATGTTGAGGTTAACATACGTGATACCTTAGCTTTGAGTCAAGGAGTTGGGGGACAAAAACTAAAGCACTTCCTAGTCTGCTAACTCTACTTAGATGCATTCAATATGATCCCTTTTGCCTAGTGTCACAGGCCAACTCCTTTAGAGGCGTAGCGGATCAATTTTTCGCCAGTGTGGTGCTCAAACTCCACCAAGTTTAAGCCCGCCATAAACTTGTTGACAAATCGAGTGTTAATGATCTCACCCGTTTGAACATTAGGGCCCAATACTTTGTCAAGCAAAACAACTTCACAAGGAGCTCCGTCTTCACCTGGATGCCACAAGTAAGCCTAACGCCTCAAGTGCACTAAGCACGGCATAAGTCGCTTCATAGCGCCAAGCTTACCCCAAGCAAGGTGCTCGGCCAACTTAGGTTTATGTCACCAAGGTGCCTAGCCACACAACAATGTGTTAACGAAGGCCCTCGACTTAGCCGACAAGCCAACATTGCACATTGGGTCTTTAAAAACATCTCGAAGAGTCGTAGGGTCAAGCATGCCTCAATAGATGCATATTGGATGGCCACTTGGTCATGCAAGGCCCACAAGCCACCGAGGGTCAATCTCTTGCCCACGGCGTAGTTCTCGTGCCAACATGTGTGTTAGATTCCGCCTAAGGCCATTGCGCACCTTAGCGTTGCACCAACGTGTAGCATGAGTAAGGCAACATCTCAATCCATAGCTTGCTTGTAGCATTATGTAGTCCCTCAATGGACTTAGTCAATGTATAGCTTGATGCCTTCATTCGATAGCCCACATATGCGGTGTTGCCGTCCAACCACTTAGCTTAAGCCACGGGATCCCCTCGTGCAAGGTTGAACCCAAACCAAGCACTTGAGTTAGCACACGAGGCCTTTAGTGGTGCCTTGATAGCCCATTCGGTCCAAAACGAGTCCCAAAGATGCCATATTGCTTGGCATAATGGAAGCAACGTAGTGAACCTCTCCCTTGGGAGGACACGCGCAGTGCTTACATTATTGCACCGTCCATGGGGCTCCCAAACCCACATTGAGACTCTAGACACCCCTCTGGATGCCTAAAGCCCGCCCTTGAGTTGCCCCAAGGTTGCTCACTTGAAGCCCAGTTTGGGCGGGGAGGTAGGTAGGTAGCACACCTTACCCCCTTGTATATGCTTGTTAAGGAATTTGGCTTCTGGTAGGAGGAAACATCAATATGTCCGAGGAGTCATAATGATTTTTCATAAATTCCACAAATTGAGAAAAATCACGAAACTTGGTCGGGAAAACATTTCCCCCAAGACCTATTTCTAGTAAAAATTTCAACTCGAAACTCCTTCATTTGGATGCCTAACCAACGTGCCAAAATTCTGCACTGCATGCTGCTGTTGCTGCCTGCTGGCAGCGGTGGTTGCTGCTGCTGGCAGCGCTGGTTGGCTACTAGCATGGGCTGCGGCTTTGCCGTTTGCTGGCTATTAGTGGCCTACATGCCTTGGGCTGCTTGGGGCCAATGTTAGGCCACGTTGGGGCACTTCCAACGGCCACTCTTGAGCACTCAAATGCCACACCACCGCGAGCGAAACATCACGGAGTTAGCCTTGCAAGGCAACCTGTGACACCTGGGCAGGTGAATCTCTGTTTGAGCACGTTGTCTATCCCGCTCGAACGCTACCCTTAGGTCAGTTGAGAGTCCCTGTACTATAATCTCTTATCTCCTGAGCTATCTCTAAAAGGTAACTAATGCTCACACGCCATTCTAAGTCAGGAATAGGGCCTAGAGACCCAATTAGGGGTAATGACACAATCATGGGGCACCAAAAAACCATATGACCATCATGTGGGGCGTACGGGGTATATGTGGCTCAAAGGCTAGAGTTGTGGCTTGAAGACCATCCATTTTTGGCATCATCTTTGGCATGGGAAGGATAGGTTTTCCGGCCCTTTCCAGGATTGTGGTTGATTGGGGGACTGCAATTAGTGATTTTTTCAGAAAATCAGGAGAACATGTTTTTTTGGACATCTCATTTCATAGGGAGTTGAATGACTGAGATGTGGAAGACGGGTCGAGGCTTCTTGAGATGCTTTATCAGATGTTGGTTCCCGGCCAAGGGGAAGATAGTATGTTCTGGATGGCATCAAAGTTTGGGAAGCTTGTGGTAAAGGCTTATTATGGTGTTCTGTTGGGCTGGGGGAATGTTATCTTTCCTTGGATGGCCATTTGAGGGACTAAAACCCCATCCAAGGTGGCCTTTTTTGTTTGGATTTAGCACACGGAAAGATTCTTACAATTAATAATTTGATTTGAAGAAGGAAAATTCATATGAATTGGAGTTGTTTATTTAAGAAAGATGACAAGTGGACCATCTTATTTATTGTGCATTGGCCTGGGAGTTCTGGTCCTTTTTCCTTGCTCTGTTTAAGGACAAACCCAAATTTTCTAATTCTCTCTCTCCTTCCTCCATACTATTCACCCACATACCAGTGCACAAAAGCCCTCTTCGCATACATCAAATCAAACTTATGATCACTCCTCGAGAACACCTCAGCAACTCTTGTGGAGTTGGAGATCATGCAAACTCTCTCTCTGAAACGTTTAAAAAAGAGGTTATGGCATACAACAGGCTGCCGAGCAGCGGCCATAACAGCACCATCGCCCGACGTCTCGCCGGCCTACTCCTCTCCGTCCTCCTCCGCAGACAAGGCATCTTCCTCTTCGCTCCGCTTCTTTACATCTCCGGCATGCTCTTCTACATGGGAACTGTCTCCTTCGACGTTGTTCCGATCATCAATCACCGTCCTGCTCCGGGCTCCGTCTACCGGAGTCCCCAGCTCTATGCGAAGCTCCGTCCCGAAATGGATGCGGACAATTCAACCTCCGATGCGGTCAGTGATTCCATTTCTCTTTCTTCCTCTTGATTTGATCCAATCGAGTATTGTGTGCCAATTTTGGATACAAAATTACTACTTAACTGTTAGGGATGTTTATAGATTAGTTAAGATCACGTTATGCATATACTGTTGGGGCTTTAAGCTGAATCATTGACATTTGGATTAGAATTTAGGGAAATTTGTGTTATATAGGTCTCTTACTGTGGATAGATCTGTTGATAAGTTTATTATACTGAAGAATGAGGTGTTGTTTTTACATCAAAGGAACTAGTTTGCCGCTTGTTGGCAATGCATATACCTGAATCTTTAATTCTGTTTACTTTATTAGAATGTTTTGTTGTGGAACCACGCACAGTAGTTTGAGAATATTCTGCCAAAAAATGGTGGTACTTGTCATTGAAATATTGTTGCTGTGCTTCTATTCTATGAATATAACAATGGTTTCAATTTTTTTTTATTTTTATTTTATTTTTTTTTATATTTTTTATAATGTATTTGAATAACAGCTAGTCCCTTGGGATTTTATGTTTTGATATGAATTTGACAAGGAACTATGGGATTTTCATTTATTGTTTTCTCGTCTTACTTACTGGTGTTGACATAAGGTGTTGCATTTACTGTAGATATCTACTATATGGAAACGCCCTAAAGATTATGAGTGGAGAGCTTGTATAAACAAATCGACCGGAGGCTTACCTGAGTCAAATGGTTACATATATATTGAGGCAAATGGTGGCTTGAACCAGTAAAGGACAAGAGAGAGCACATGCATATGTGTGTTGTTTTTCTCTCTCCCATGTGACCCATTCTCCTCCCTCAGAAAAGCTCTCCCTTTTGAAATCTATTTTTCACCCCTGCCCATGACCACCACCGACAGAGAGACTAGTGCTGTGTGTGAGTTGTTCTCCCTGTCAGTATCTTCTGTGTGTGGACCCCTTTTTTTTTCAACTAAAGGAGAAGCTATAGCACATGCATACACATGTTCACCATTCCACATTTTTTGAAGTGAATAGTGCTGGTGGGCCCTACCACTAGCCAAAGCCATTTATAATCCTGATTTCTCATTTCTTTCCACCGAATTCTACTCAATTTGTCTCCACTTTGCATTTTTCTCTTTTTTTATTTCTTTTGCCTTTTTTTTTATCATACCATCCACCTAAGTTTGTCCCTCTCTCTCCTCCGTTTGCTTTCAAATTTAATTATTTTTTTTTCCTTTCTTTATTTTATTGTCTCAAAAAAAAAAATCTATTAATTACATCTCATTTTTCTGCTCAGTCTTGTACCTTCAAACCATTTAGCTTTGCACAATACACTCATTTTATTTCTATCGGGACTTCGCCCTGATCACCATTCTACAAAAAAAAAACAAAACAAAAAAAAAAAAAAAAAAAAAAAACCGCCAACGGCTTTGTTTTCTTTTCTGCAGACGGCCACACCCCGCCATCCCTTCTCTACTCTGCCGCCGGTCTCTTCTTTTTGCCTCCGTCCTGGGCGGTCCTTGATGGTGTTGCCTCCGTGTTTCCCACTCCACTGGGCACGATCACTACTCCCTGCTCCGCCACTGCAGCATATGGCGGACCTCCAAATCGGAACATCACAGTGGCCTTCCGCTTCAGTTCCTTATTTTCCGCCTTCAGCACACTTATCTCTGCTCGCACATCCTTATACATGCGTTGGAGCAGAGCCAGTTGGGAGTTTAACTGCTACACCTCATTTGCCCTACTCTGCAGCCGGTTCGACAAGTTTGTAACCGCAGTCATGGTTTCCACACATGACTTCAGAGTATACTGATTGGCTTCCACATCCGACTGCACTGCCATTCTTTGCTCCACAGACCGCATCGGAAAGTTCAACGGAGCAAAACCAGAGGTGTTTGGTTGAGGTTCACGGGCCACCACACCTGTTGTCTCTCCTGTTGACTCGTTGAGGTCGGGAAAGAGAGTGAGCAGACCACGGGAAGATGAGGCCATGTTCTGGGTAGCTGAACGGGAAGAAGAGGCCATGTTTTTTGGGTTGCTGAGTGTTTCCGAGAAGGGTTAGATACAGAGTATTTACAGATTGTTTCCGAATGACAAGTTCAGAGGTTTCAGTCTGGTTTGGTTTCCACCGCCTCCGCATTGGTTTATATTGACACTGACGACGCGGCCGACACGCCGCTCTGTCGCTCACGTGTCTCGCCGCATCTCCGGCTCAACTTTTGATGGCTCGACGCTTTCTGTCGGGCACGACTTTTGATGAAGTGGGCGCGCCTTTTGAGGGCGCAACTTTTGATGGCACGCCTTTTTATGGATTGGGCACGCCTTTTGATAGATTGGGCACACCTTTTGAGGGTGCGACTTTTTTAATGGGTCCGACAAGACTCTGTAAACTGTCCCGACATTGATTCTGGTTAGCTCCTTTATGGGTCCGACAAGACTTTGTAAACTGTCCCGACATTGATTCCGGTTCAAGGTTTTAAAAAGCGGCCGCAACCGTTACGTAATGCCGTTACGTAACGGTTTTGGTGGTTACCACCACCCGTTACGGCCGCTTTTGCAATATGATTGAAATTCACAGGTGTGCCGGTCGTAGCGGCTGCCGTAGCGGTCGTAACGATGCCGTAACAGCCGTAACGGCCTGTTACGCACCGTTACATAACGGTTTCAAACTGTTTCTTCCGAAAAAACAGACAAAAAAAAGCTAAAAATTGGGGAAGAGGGATAGAGAGAAGAGGGAAGATAAAGAGAGAAAATGGCGGAGAAAGAGATAGAGAGAGAGAAAAGGGAAGATGAAGAACAAGTTATTGATTTGTTGAAACTGTAAGACCTATGGTATTCTATTCAGCTGCTATCACTAAACCATTTTGTTTGTGTGTGTCTATCTATATATTGTTTGAAAATAATAATAATAATAAGTGTGGTTGTTATCTATTTGGCTTGGTTAAAATATGTATATATATATATATTTAGACTCTTATTTATTCTCTTACTTTTGTCATTGTTTATCTTATATATAATAGTTAGTGATTGATTTTTTGTATAATATAAAGTCATTAATTATTAAAATAAAATGTAAAAAACTCAATTTATAGTGATTTAAAAATATGAAATATATTGGATCAAAATTATTATATTTTCATTTTTCACTAAAAAATTTCATTTTTCTTAAATTTGTGACTCTTTCAACTGGATAAATTCTTCCACTTTGATCCAAATTCTAATGAAAATTATACCTTTATAACAAAAATAGTGTAGATTACAATTTGTCCCCCAAAGTATGGTCATTTTCCCACTTTGGTCTTTAAAGAAAAAGGATTTCCCACTTTGATCCCCAACCCCAAAAAAATTGTCTAACTTAAATAAATAAAATAAATAGTTTCTCCCAATTACAACTTATTACATCATCCACCTCTGGCCTAGTCTTCAGATTGCGATAGTGGATACAGTGTCCTCTACAACGTTATGACACCACCATCCAGTGTCTTCACCAATGGTCTGACACGACCATACAGTGTCTCTTATCCTCTTTTATTTTTATGTATTTTCTTGTTTTGTTAGTCTCTCCAAACTCAAGTTGGTTAGTTCCTATCCCCCTTGAGTTTTGCGGGGGCTGTTAGAATTTACCATAAACCTACCACCACTACCACCTCACCTACTCCACTAAACCTAACCCACTACACCACTACCACCTCTACTTCACCTACTCTCCACCTACTCCCAAACACACTCCTATATAATAGGAATCCTTGTAATTGTAATACACACAATAAATCAATATAAATCAATAATACATGATTTTTTAACAAGATGCTTTATCAGATGTTGGTTCCCGGCCAAGGGGAAGATAGTATGTTCTGGATGGCATCAATGTTTGGGAAGCTTGTGGTAAAGGCTTATTATGGTGTTCTGTTGGGCTGGGGGAATGTTACCTTTCCTTGGATGGCCATTTGAGGGACTAAAACCCCATCCAAGGTGGCTTTTTTTGTTTGGATTTAGCACACGGAAAGATTCTTACAATTAATAATTTGATTTGAAGAAGGAAAATTCATATGAATTGGAGTTGTTTATTTAAGAAAGATGACAAGTGGACCATCTTATTTATTGTGCATTGGCCTGGGAGTTCTGGTCCTTTTTCCTTGCTCTGTTTAACATGTCTGGACTCTCTAGTGGTCAAAATATTTTCACAATTCAATGGAATCAACATTCAGTGTGTTCCTTTGTAGACTACAAAATTGACAAATGGATAATTGGGAGATAACCTTGCTGAAAAGAGAACAAGGGTCAAGCTAGAGAACATACTGTTACATTCCAACAGTTTGCAGCCCGAGCAGCTTCCACAATTGCTTTCCCAATTGGATGAAGTGTATTTGATTCAACTCCAGCTGCCAACTTCAGAACCTCCACTTTTGACCATGTACAATTTGAATTTGGTCTGCAGAAAAATCAGGTTTTACTCTATTACCACCTTGATGTCAAAATTTGGCGATCAATGGAAATTAAATACTCAAACAGGTCTACATTTACCAAAGTGCATTAGCGACTCAACGTGTCTCAGATTTCAATGCTTACTGATTATAATCATGTGCAATGCTATATGATCCACAGAAACCATGCAACTTCAATTGAAATATTTCATGTCTGAAGGCTTTGAATTCTAATTTTTAAACAGAAAATTATTAAAGAGCAAAGAAGGGTGAGAGTAAGAATACATACAATTCTAGGCCTACAACCTAACCATCCAGTTTGCTCAAAATATGAAATTGGATTCTGTAGGCACATGAAGTTTCCACTTCACTTCAGAACATGATACTGATTGATGTAAGACATTTCTCATAATGCTATTGCTATAAGCTAAGAAGCACAGACAGTTCTATGAAGGAAGCGTGGTGTGTCCGGCGCCCATGTTGGACACCAACAATCTTCGGGCATTTCTAAAAGTGTGTCCGACACTTCTTTGATGTGTTTTAATTAGAAAATCAAATTCATAATATTGAACAGTTTACCAACACTTCGTGGACATTCTGCCGTTAAACCCTCGGAACACGTTCTATGTGATGAATCCCTTTATAAATTATTCACATATATATATATATATATATTAAACATGTATAAATATAAAATTTTAATGTGTCTCAAGCATGTCGTGTCCTATAGTTTTTGAAAATCGACATGTCAGTGTGTCCATCATGCCGCATGTCCGTGTCTATGCTACTTAGGTTATAAGACATTTCACAGTATGAAAATCTACCTAAAATAGCAATTGTGATCGGAAAATTATGATTAGTGGGGAATGAAAATGTTCATTAACAAATTGTTAAAATTCTAACATAATTGAACCCAACTCAAAGCTAAACATCAACAAGAACAGCAACTTCAACATAGTTCTCCATTAAAATAATTCAAATAAAAAATGTTAGAATATTTCCTTATTTCCTTATTTAGATTAGATTGTGATTGATATAAAAGGTGATTCTTTAATCAGTGCCTTAGGGCTTCCATTTGTAAAAGTTTATTGATTAATATAAAAGGTGATGATATCATAATCATTACCCAAGCTTTATATTCTCTTAAATTACATGGTATCAGAGTCAAAACCTTAAAAACCGTCACCCACACAGCCGCTGCCAACAACCAACCATCACCTATCACCACCCATCCTCCACCGCTGGTTCTTGAGTCTCTATCGGAACCAGCCAAGGTCCCGTTGAACTGTTTTGACTTCAGTCGAAGCTTCTGTAGATGAGTGTTTGAGGGCTGTCCATCTTCTGTTGTCCCAAGTTTCTTTCCCTCTACTTTCTTGAATACAGTTCAACACTTGTTTTGATTGAAGGTTCGTTTTCCCGCATTTAATTTATTTTTTGGGTCCATAGATGACCCATTAATCTAATTCTTATGCTCCCATAATGGTTTGTATGTGATTTTGCTTGTTTCAGCTCATTCCATTCCTCTTTCCATTCTTGTGATTCGTGCAAGGTTTTTTGGGTTGAAATTGTAGAGTTCTTATGGCTGACTTAACTAGTGAATCCACCACTACTTCTCACCCATCTAAAGGGGAGAGCCCCAGGCCAGTTATGACTACTACATCTGAGAACCTGACCCCTAGCCTAGGGATGGCAATTTGAAACCGGCCCGACGGGAAACCGACCCCCCGACCCCGAATTGTGCGGGTTTTTCCCGAAAAAAACCCCCGACGAGACGGGGATGGTATTTAAAAATCAATCTCCAAACAGATTCGGGCCAGGGACGGGGATAAGTGTCTCAGCCCCGTACCCAGCCCGGCCCCGTCCCCGTTCCCCGGCCCGGTTTGTCCTCGAATTTACCCCTAGATATATATACACACACATAGTAACCTAACCAGACCAAACCCTCATCTCATCCTCTCCAGTTCTGTCTCTTTCTCTCTCTCTCTCTTCCCTCTACTCTCTCTCGATGCCGATCATCACGTCGATCATCGATCATCACTGTAACCAAACTAGATCTGGTGGAGTTCGTGACGTCAATCATCACTGTCCGCGACGCCGGAGGAGTCCTTCCGTCGTCCATCTCCACTGTCGCGACGCAGTCACAGCCACAGCCACCCATCGCGACGCCGATGCTGCTCTCAGATCGTCCATCGCCACCGATCGTCCTCCTCCATGAACTCCACCAGATCTAGTTTCTCTCTCTCTCCGCCGTGCTCTCAGATCTGTGTTGATGATGCACGCAACATACTCAGTTGATCTCCTCTGTGTTGATGATGCTCTCAGATCTTTTTGTCAAATTTTTTTTTTTTATTTTTTTATTTTTTATTTATTCTGTTGTTAATGATTCTGTGTTGATGATGCCTTCTTGATCTTTCTGTGTATGTGGTTGAAAATGTATGTGTGATGTTGTTGTTAATGTTGAAACAAATTTAGGCGGGGAATTTTCGGGGTCGGGGAAACCGGATCCCCGATTGAGGGCGGGGGTAGGGAGAGGGAAAGGTTCCCCGTCAGGGATCGGGGCCAGGGACGGGGCCATGTTCACCATCGGGGATCGAGGACGGGGAGTGTGATCCCCGGCCCCGTCCCGCCCCGTTGCCACTCCTACCCTAGCCTCAAAATCACCACTGCTCTGTTTAATAGTCAGAATTACCTTTCATGATCTCATTGTCTGACACTTTTTCTGAAGAGTAAGGAGAAGATGAGATATGTTAATGGGTGAGTTCAAGTACCAGGTATTACGAATCTTGACTCTGACCAATGGGAGATTACCAACTCTTTAATCATGGAATGGCTCATTCATTTCATGGTTCCTAAGATTGGTTAAGGCTACTTATCCATGGACTCTACTCAGGATATTTGGGAAGCAATAGCTGTTACATATGCTCGAAAAGGGAATTTTTCTCAGTTTTTTGAGTTGCGCCTGTCTATTGAGCGCTCAGTATAGCGGGAGCAGACAGTTTTTTAGTATTACACCTCTCTAACTAATGGTTAGAAACGCCTAGATCATCTCTCGGATTACAAGCTTGTCTGTACAGTTGACTCAGTTGGTTACCATAAATTTCTTACACAGGAGAGGGTCTTTAAGTTTCTAGAATGCCTTAATGTGGAGTTTGATCCAGTCCGGAGTCGTGTCATTGGCATAGATGTTCTTCCATCTCTTCAAAAGGCCTTTGCGTATGTACAAAATGAAGAGAGTCGTTGTTCTGCTATGTTACCACTAGCTATGTTTCACGGACTCGGCACTTTGGGGTGAAGTACCCGTGTCGACATGACACAGGTGTGGGCAATGTTTACAAACCCAGATTGGACTGGCCCAGCCGGTTGAACCGGTAACCGAGCTTTGTTCCAGTCCGAAAAAACCTCTAAACCCATACTAGGATATAAACCGGTGTAAAATGCAAGAACCGGATGGACCACCAGTTGAACCGGCAAAACCGACGACCCTAACTGGGTTATTATGAACCAACCGGGTTTGACTATAGTGTTTTTATTTGACTATGTCAGTGTTTTTATTTGACAAATTGGTAATATTAATTGCTTTTAGTATAATACTTTTATTACTTTCATTATTATTATTGTATTATTATTGCAAATTACAATTTCATTGTGAGTGATATTTGAAAATTCTATTATTTTGTTGAATTTAATTATTTTTTTGCATTTTTACACTGACATTTTTAATATATTTATGATATAATTATGACGTCACGTTTCGACGGCTTTGGCCCGACGACTGAACCGATGACCCGTCCACCCGGTCCCTTTTTGGTTCGCTCACCGGTCTGATTTTCAAAACATTGGGTATGGGTGGGATCTATGTCGGATTCGCCTCTTCTCTCTCAGACACGGCTAATCAAAAAGGAAGAAGGTTGAGATACTTACATTGATGTATAGGTTCAAGATCTTGATCGTGCCTTTCGATCTTCTTCTCTGTCTTGATCTCCTTTTCTCTTTATCACGATCTCCTTCTCTCCTTTGATATCTCTCTCTTTCGTGCTGTGCGTGTGTGAGAGAAGAGAAGAGACAGACTCCATCGTGTTGCTGTGCGTGTGAGAGAGAAGCGAAGAGGAGAAGGACAAACTCCATCGTGCTGCTACTGTGTCTTTCGATCTACTTGTTTGTGTCAAAGCTACTGCTACTGCTACTGCTACTGTTTGTATCAAACCCTGATGGGCTGAATCAAATAAATAAATAAGGGTTGGACCAAATAAATAAATAAAAAGCTTGAGCCTATTGGCTAGTTAATATTATAAATCCTAATGGCCTGGACCCAAATACATAAATAGAAAGTTTGGACACTGGTTTGTATCATAATAATTAATATTATAAACTATAATGGGCTGGACCCAAAAAAATTAAGCAAAAATTTGGACCTATTGGCTAGTTTGTATCATAATAAACCCTAGTGGGTTGGATCCAAATAAATAAATAAAATATTTAGGCCTATTTACAAACTCTATTCAACAATAACATGGGTTATTCTATGACTTATCTATATGTTTGATCCTATTTATAAAAAAAATTGTTGGGTCAACTTTTTTTAACTCATCTTCATGTAATCAATATATTTAAAAAATAACTATTTAACTCATCTTTATATAATAAATATATTTTAAAAATAACTATTTAACGTATCCCTGTATCCATATCAACATTTGGATTCATATCCACGTATTCTTAATTTTTAGTTTTGAAGTGTCCGACCCCCGCACCCGCACCCGCACCCGCACCCGATACCCACACCCAAGTTCGTGTAACATAGACCACTAGCTACTGGAAACTGTTTAGCATTACTTTTTATTCCTTCTCGAGATGGAACTAGTTTGTCACTACCTCTTTCCCATCCTTTAGGTCTGTGATTACTGCCGCAAGCCACGACATACTCATGAGGCTTCATCAGGGAGTCGGGGTGATCGGCCTGGTGCTAGAGGTAGTCGATCAGGCCAGTCTAGAGGATGTGGCTTTAATCCACGGGCCCATCAGTCTAGTGCTTTTCACACCCTTGATTCTGCTTTCGCTTCAGTTGGTCCGACTTCTGATAGTTTATCTAGCATGACTTCCTCTAAGCTTGAGGATGTTCTGCGTCATTTGCTGGCCCACAGGTCTTCTACCACTCCCAGTGCATCTTCCTCGTCATTTGTCCACTCAGGTAACTTAGTCTCTTCTCCTAGTGCTTTTCTTTCCCATAAGTCTTTGCCATGGATTATTGATTCCGATGTCTCAGATCATATGTCTAGGTCTTCTAACCTTTTCTCAGCATATAAGCCCTCTTTAGGACAAGACAATGTTAGGATTGCAGATGGTACTGTTTCTTTTATCTCTGGGAAAGGTTTAATTCATGTCACCCCTACCTTACCTTTGTCTTTAGTGCTCCACATTCTCAATTTTTCTGTTAATCTTCTATCCTTGAGTCGTATTACTAATGATTTGAACTGTAGTATGACATTTTTTCCTAATCATTGTCTTTTTTAAGACCTTGTCATGAGGAGGACAATGGTAGTGCAGAAAATGGTCTCTATTTCTTGGATCAACCGAACAAACTTGCTCATCATTCCATCCAGTTCCTAAACACCAAGGGCAGCCATCCCTTCAAGGGTAGCCTTGGTGTGAAGAGATTTATGTTGTCCCTGTTGCTCCTATGGTGGAGCCAGTTGTTCTTGCACCACCTATTAGTGGGACTACAAAATCCAATGCCACCAAGAACAAGGAAAGACAAGTTTATGTTAGGGACAAAGACAGACAGAAAGTTACTTGGATAGAAGAAACCACTTCTGCTCACCCACTACCATCTCCTGCTTCTGATAAGAGTCCAGGTAACTTCGAACCTCTTGTTTCTCTTGAGTCCACTGATATTACTATTCCTGACACTACTGATTTTGATATTCCTATTGTCAAAAGAAATGGTGTGAGATCTTATACTCAACATCCTATCTCAAACTTTGTGTCCTACTGTCATTTCTCTTCCTCTTATAGAGCCTTTATGTCAAACATTTCCTTTGTTAGTATTCCTAACTATTTTCAGGATGCTCTTGCTACCTCTAAATAGAAACTTGCTATAATTGAGAAAATGAAAGCACTTTGTAAGAATGGCACTTAAAAATTAACTGAGTTACCTAAAGAAAAACAATTGGTGGGATGCAAATGGGTATATGTTGTGAAGCACAAAACAAATGGTTCTATTGAGCGTTACAAGGCTCAACTTGTGACGAAAGGCGTCACTCAAAGTTATGGAGTAGACTATTAAGAGACTTTTGCACCAATGGCTAAGATGAATATAATCAGAATACTTTTCTCTCTAGCAGCTAATTTAGATTGGTCACTTAATCAATTTGATGTAAAGAATGCTTTCTTACATGGTGATATAGAAGAAGAGGTATATATGAACATTTCTCCTGATTTTAAGGATCATCAGACAGAGGGTAAAATATGCAGGCTTCGAAAGTCGTTATATGGTCTCAAACAGTCTCCAAGGGCTTGATTTGAGAGATTCACTTAGGCTATGCTTAAATATAGTTTCAAACAGAGTCAGACATATCACACTTTGTTTGTGAAACATTTCTCGCGTAATAAGACTACAGCTCTCATTGTTTATGTCGATGACACAGTGCTTACAGACGATGATAGTAAGGAAATACCCTTATTGAAGAAATATTTAGCTAATGAGTTTGTGTAAGAATTTATGTATTATTGATTGATGTTTATTGATTTTAATTACAATGATTCATGATTCCTATATATAGAAGAGGGTGAGTGTGTAGTAGGTAAGGAGTAGGTGAAGTGGAGGTGGTAGTGGTGTAGTGGGTTAGGTTTAGTGGAGTAGGTGAGGTGGTAGTGGTGTAGTGGGTTAGGTTTAGTGGAGTAGGTTTAAGTGGGTGAAGTAGGTGATAGGTTTTAACAGAAACATTTCTCGCGTAATAAGACTACAGCTCTCATTGTTTATGTCGATGACACAGTGCTTACAGATGATGATAGTAAGGAAATACCCTTATTGAAGAAATATTTAGCTAATGAGTTTGAAATCAAAGACTTGGGAAACTTGAAGTATTTTTTAGGAATCGAAGTTGCTTGCTCCAAGGATGAGATTTTCATCTCACAAAGGAATATGTTCTTGACCTTTTGAAGGAAACATGGATGCTTGGATGCAAGGCCTATGATACCCCACTGGAACCTAATCAGAAACTTGGTGATGATGAAGGAGGAGCAGCTGTTGATAGGGAAAGTTATCAATAAGCTCATTTACTTATCTCACTCTCATCCTGATATTACTATTGTTGTCAGTATAGTAAGCCAGTTTATGCATGCTCCTCATCAAATTCACTTACAGGCTATTATGAGAATTCTGAAGTACTTGAAATCTTCTCCTAGAAAGGGCCTTTACTTTTCCAAACATGATCACCTCATAATGGAAACCCATACAGATACTTATTGGGCAGGGTCAATAATTGATAGGAGATCTACATTAGGATAATGTATCTTTGTGGGCAGCAATCTTGTTACTTGGAGGAGTAAGAAATAGAATGTGGTGGCTAGATCGAGCGCAAAAACTGAGTTTAGAGCTATAGCACAAGGTGTGTGTGAACTTTTGTGGATCAAATTGTTGTTAAGTGATCTGGGGATGGGCCAGACAGACTCTATGCAGCTATATTGTAATAATAAGGCTGCCATCAACATAGCTCACAATCCTGTTCAACATGACAGGACAAAACATGTTGAGATTGATCGCCACTTCATCAAGGAGAAACTCACTAGCGGCATGATATGTATTCCTTTTGTGAAGTCAGGTGAACAACTTGCAAACATTCTCATCAAGAGAGTTGGGAGTAAACCATTTCATGAAATTCTAGGTAAGCTGGGCATGCAAGATATCTTCACACCAGCTTGAGGCGGAGAGTTAGAATATTTTCTTATTTCCTTATTTAGATTAGATTGTGATTGATTGATTGGCTGACAATCAATCAATCAATATAAAAGGTGATTCATTAATCAATGTCTTACGGCTTCCTTTTGTAACAGTCGATTGATTAATATTGATTAATATAAAAGGTGATGATATCATAATCATCACCCAAGCTTTTGTGTTCTCTTAAATTACAAAAAAACATGTATTTATGTCTCTACTCAACTGTGAATCTTTATTGTTCTCATGTCCCAATGTCACCACCTTTGTCACAACAGGTCTGCCAATTGTCAATGTCCCTGTTTTGTCGAATACTATTGTGTTCACCATTGAAAATTTCTCTAAGACATTTCCACCACGCAAAAGCAATCCTCTTGTAGCCCCTAGAGAAGTTCCAACCTGTGAATATGCTAATATTAATTACATGAAGTATTAAGGGCAAACAAAACAGTACCAATCGTTTTACAAAGATGAGATTTCTGTTCAAAATGAAGTACCAGCACTGCAGTAGGTGTTGCTAGCCCTAGTGCACACGGACAAGCAACAACCTGCAATCAGAAATTAAAGTTTAACTACTGCCTCGAAAATAGTAGGATAGGCTTATAAGGACAGCATTGGAGCATAATGATAAGAACACAAAAAATGAGAGATACAAAATAGCATGGTCTTCAATCTTGAACAATAAATCAAATCTCAACCAAACTCAAAACAGTGCTCATATCTAAACTAAATTAACATTGTGTTGGACACACTGATTATCATGAGTTCTAATATAACTTCTGATTATCATACCAGAACACTGCAAGACAGCTGCAGTGCCAATGAAACAGGATTTCCTTGATGAAGAGCTACTGGTAAAATTTGTGCACCAAAAAGGTTCCAGAACAAAAATGTGGCTGCAGAGAGTGCCATTACTCCATAAGTGAAGTGCCCAGCCACCTAATAAACCAAAAGCAATGTCATTAAAAGGTAAATGGACATTCTAGAAAAAAGTAATGACATGACGAAAAATATATTTAGTAATTAACAGAGAAGGAAACTGATTCTTATAACACTTCTTCATTTTGATTTTATTTGGTCGGTCAGATTAAGAGTGTTCCTTAAACCTTCTATAGAAAGCAGACAACGAATTGAAGATATAACATCGAACAAACTTATGCTGTTCTGAGGCAAAAGAGTATATAGATTGAGCAACATAAAAGGATGGATCTAGGATTAACTCTAAAAAGCTAAGGGTAAGTAAGGTTCTATGGCATGATTGGTTGGAACTATTTCCAGCAACACCAATTTTATGAGCACCAGAAGAATACTATTGTAATTTCTAATAAACATTACTGGACTTGGTCTGACTTCTGAAGAATAACAAAAGTTTTCCAAATTATATATCAGGCTTAGATTTTGAGTTATATATGGTGCCATCTGATTATTTCATCATTACTGGACTTGGTCTGACTTCTAAAGATGAACAAAAGTTTTTCAAATTATATATCAGGCTTAGATTTTGGGTTATATATGGTGCCATCTGATTATTTCATCATGTGCTGGTTATGTATGACCCATCACCGCTGTTAAGATCATTGGTAAGTAGAAGAGACAAAAAGGGCAGTTGGAATGAATGTAGCAGGTTTTGGCAGCTGGTGGTATGGTTGGTCAAAGAGATGGAGGTTCAAAGCTGCCTACAATAGGAATTGTGGTGGATTCTTATTTTATTTTTTATTTCCAAAACAGAGTTTCTGGTGGAAGCTATGGACATCAGTGATTTAAGGAGGTTTGGTGTTAATTCAAAGACCAAAGGGTAGGGCAATAGGTTAGGGTTTGTTTTGGCTTGATTCAGCAGTGTTTGGAGTTAAAAAAGAGACTGCTCTTGGGTTGTTAACAGTAACCTGACAATAGTGTCTGAGAAACAGTAGGGATTGTACCCAGGCTTCCCTAGGAATTGCCCCCTAAGGTATGGCTACACAAAGCATCACACAGCCACAAAAACCTCTCACAATTTCTCAAAATGTTCTCTCTCTAATGAATTACAAGATTATATATGTATTTTTAGGATATTGGCTTTAATTCTACTAAGCCTGATTCCAAATTTAGGACATTGTTCTAATTCTGCTCACTGTAATTCACCCATTGCATTTTCATAGATAAAATAATAGGCAACGGATAAAAAATATTACAAAAACCAATAATAACAAATAAATAAACCTTGTCAGCTAACCGCTGTACAGGAGCTTCCCTACTCTGAGCAGCTTCTACTAAACGAACAATGTCTCCCATGGTAGTCTCACCACCTGGTCTTCGTACTTCGACAGTAAGCGTTCCATTAAGGTTTATTGTTCCAGCTGCAACTTCAGCCTAGTATAGACATGCAATACACTATAATACGATAAGATGGTGGGGAAAAATCTTTAATTAATGAAGTGAAATGCAGCTCCCGTCCCTCCCTTAGCCCCCCAAAAAGGTTCATTTTCAAGAAGTATAACCATGCAATCAGGTTCTTCCACCTCTTGAAAGGACCTTTTGAGGAGTGAAAGAACCTTTTTTTTTTAAATTGAGAAGCAGAACCTTATCATGTTTTATATATATTTTTTATGTTCAGGTGGAATTGATCCATCCTTGAACCAATTTTTTGTTTTTGAGAATCTTTCGATCCTTAGAAGTGCCTAAGAGTGAACACTTTCGTTATCTAGGGTCGATTATCACAACAACGGAAGAGATTGATGCAGATGTGGCCCATAAAGAATTGCCTAAGAGTGAACACTTTCGTTATCTAGGGTGGATTATCACAACAGCGGGAGATTGATGCAGATGTGGCCCATAAAGAATTGCCTAAGAGTGAACACTTTCGTTATCTAGGGTCGATTATCACAACAGCGGAAGAGATTGATGCAGATGTGGCCCATAAAGAATTGCCTAAGAGTGAACACTTTCGTTATCTAGGGTCGATTATCACAACAGCGGAAGAGATTGATGCAGATGTGGCCCATAAAGAATTGCCTAAGAGTGAACACTTTCGTTATCTAGGGTCGATTATCACAACAGCGGGAGAGATTGATGCATGTGACCTATAGGATTAAGGCGGGATGGTGTAAGTGGAGAAGTGCGTCTGGGGTATTGTGCGATAAACGAATACCCACTAGACTAAAAGGTAAGTTTTATAGAACGGCAATTAGACCAGCTATGTTGTATGGGACGGAGTGTTGGGCAACCAAGAAACAACATGTAGATAAGATGAGTGTGGCTGAGATGAGGATGCTAAGGTGGATGTGTGGTAAGACTAGACAAGACAGGATTAGGAATGAGTGTATTCGGGAATGGGTAGGAGTAGCACCGATAGAAGATAAGTTGAGAGAGAATCGTTTGAGATGGTTTGGTCATATTCAATGGAGACCAACAGAGGCAGTAGTTAAGAGATGCGATACTGTAACGGTAGATGAAAGTGTTAGGGGATGGGGTAGGCCTAGATTAACGTTGACTAGTGTTTTAAATAGAGATATGAATCTACTTAATTTGACTAATGAAATGCCATTTGATAGGGCCGCGTGAAGAAGAAGGATTCATATAGCCGACCCCATTTGATGGGACTTAAGGCTTGGTTTGGTTTGGAGAATCTATTGAGTAGAGATTGTTTGTTCAGTTGTTTTTATTCCCTCATCTCATGTACATGGGTGGCACCTCCCTGTTGCTTTATTTAGTTATAATGTCTTTTACTTATTAAAAACAGCATGCAATCAGAAACAATTTCCTTGTTTCTTACTAGATTAAATTAAGCGGTGAACTAAACTAAAGTATGAGAGGATCATATTATTACCCCAGGTAGTTTGGTCACAGGCAGAGGCTCCCCTGTGAAACTTGACTCGTCAACTGCACTTCTACCAGCTCTAACAATTCCATCAGCTGGAACACGGTCCTAAACAATGGAACAATGTGTGTCAGGCAATATACAGACTACACCACAAAATAAATCATGATTCCATGTCACTGCAATATTTTCAACCAGAACATGCTAGAATTAGCAGCAGCTAGAACCTTTGTGCTGCATCCAAAGTGGCAACAGAACAAAAGAAACCAATAGCATGAAAAATTAAGATAATTACAAAGTCAACCTTCAATAACCCACAAGAGCATAAAACTTAGTGCAGATTCCATTAAAGCAGAACAAAAAAGGGAGGACTGACGTTAAATGGGAAAACAATGAGACTTTACTCACTCCAGGTAATATAACAATTTGATCTCCAACAGAGAGACTATTACAAGGAACTTCAACAGTTGAGCTCAACTCTTCCGCATCACCCTTGACCACAAGACGAGCTTTAGATGGCAAAATACTTAACAGGCCTGTCATGTCACTGGTGGCTTTAATTTTAGCTCTCTGCTCAAGATTCCTTCCCAGCAAGACAAATGCTATCAACATGATTGGCTCCTCAAAGAATGATTTCCAGCCCTGCATGAAAACAAGTTTATTAAAGAGAATCCAACATCAACCAATCATGTCATTCACATGCCTTGGGCTGAGTATCACGCTACCAAATGCCCTTTATTGCAACATCTTCAAAAGTAAACTGAAGAGTATGCATGATATGTCAAACACCAAGGAATATTAACTAGAGTGAGATTCAATCACATAGCAAAAGTCACTAATTTGCATCATAGTTTTTACAAACCATCATACTTTATAGCATGCCTTTATTATGGCCAAAAACAATATACTAAGATGGTAAGACTTCTTAAACTCAAGATAAGTGTTAGAATTTACCATTCACACTCACCTACTACACTCCACCTACCACCAATTTACCCTCACCTACTACACTCCACCTACTACCAATTTACCCTCACCTACTCCTCACCTACTACCCAAACCCTCTCCTATATAATGAGTCACTCTGATTTGTAATACAACAATCTTGTAATACATCAATCAACATCAATCAATAACACTACAATTTTAACATGGTATCAGAGCAAGGTTAAAGATCTTGGTGTTCTTCGCCTTCCGGCGGGCGGGCGGCGACCTTGCCTTAACCGCCCGCCGGATCTCACCCAGTTCAATCCTCTCTCTCCCTCTCGGCATACACACACATGCACTGATCTCTCTCTTCCTTTTAATTTATTCTCCGAGAACTTCCCTCATCTCCCTCAATCCTCACCCCCACGTTCTGTATATCATCATTCTCATCCATATACATATACATATACATATCACTATCTATCTATCTATGTATGAAAATGAGAGGTCGTGATCGGATAAATCCAGTCCTACCAGACGAGTTGATCCTCGAGGTCTTCCACAAGCTGGACTCCAAGCCCAGCCACGCCGCCTGCTCTCTCGTTTGCCAGAGATGGCTCGGCCTCGCTAGGCTGATTCTTTTTTTGACTCAGCAATTAGAAGATATCATCAAACAAACTTAGTAATAAAATTGCAAACTTACTAATAAAATTGCTAACTTTGGTTGGACAAATCAGACAATAATTTCCTACTTCAGTTCTCGTGCAAATCAACACAGAGCAGAAATCAAAGTCATGACATCAGAGGAAATGCATAAAGAAGCTATTCCGACCAACAAAACTAACATCAAGAATGCACTTACGGTTTAATGTTGTAGAGGAACAATCTTCAGTTACAGGAGGATTTCCTTTCACAATTGAATCCACAGACTTGTTATCAACATGTTGGTGCACTTTGTCAAAGTCAAACTCAAGTTATCGTATTGCATGATTTCCAGTACAATATTTAACTCGAACAACAAATCAATCAAAAATCAAACTCGCAATCTTTTTTTTGTTTTGTTTTTGGAAGATAAAACTGAATGAAAAAAAAGGGTTTATAGTTCCAGCTGCAACTTCAACCTAGTATAGACATGCAATCTACTATAGTATGATAAGATGGTGGGGAAAAATCTTGAAATTAATGAAGTGCAATGCAGCTCCCGTCCCTCCCGTGGCCCCCAAAAAAGGTTCATTTTAAAGAAGTATAACCATGCAATCAGGTTCTTCCACCTCTTGAAAGGACCTTCTGAGGGGTGAAAGAACCTTTTTTTAAATTGACAAGCAAAACCTTATCATTTTTATATATATATTTTTATGGTCAGGTGGAATTGATCCATCCTTGAACCGATTCTTTGTTTTTGAGAATCTTTTGAGTAGAGATTGTTTGTTCAGTTGTTTTTATTCCCTCATCTCATGTACATGGGTGGCACCTCCCTGTTGCTTTATTTAGTTATAATGTCTTTTACTTATTAAAAACAGCATGCAATCAGAAACAATTTCCTTGTTTCTTACTAGATTAAATTAAGCGGTGAACTAAACTAAAGTATGAGAGGATCATATTATTACCCCAGGTAGTTTGGTCACAGGCAGAGGCTCCCCTGTGAAACTTGACTCGTCAACTGCACTTCTACCAGCTCTAACAATTCCATCAGCTGGAACACGGTCCTAAACAATGGAACAATGTGTGTCAGGCAATATACAGACTACACCACAAAATAAATCATGATTCCATGTCACTGCAATATTTTCAACCAGAACATGCTAGAATTAGCAGCAGCTAGAACCTTTGTGTTGCATCCAAAGTGGCAATAGAACAAAAAAGCCAATGGCATGAAAAATTAAGATAATTACAAAGTCAACCTTCAATAACCCACAAGGGCATATAACTTAGTGCAGATTCCATTAAAAAGGAACAAAAAAGGGAGGACTGATGTTAAATGGGAAAACAGTGAGACTTTACTCACTCCAGGTAATATAACAATTTGATCTCCAACAGAGAGACTATTACAAGGAACTTCAACAGTTGAGCTCAACTCTTCCGCATCACCCTTGACCACAAGACGAGCTTTAGATGGCAAAATACTTAACAGGCCTGTCATGTCACTGGTGGCTTTAATTTTAGCTCTCCGCTCAAGATTCCTTCCCAGCAAGACAAATGCTATCAACATGATTGGCTCCTCAAAGAATGATTTCCAGCCCTGCATGAAAACAAGTTTATTAAAGAGAATCCAACATCAACCAATCATGTCATTCACATGCCTTGTGCTGAGTATCACGCTACCAAATGCCCTTTATTGCAACATCTTCAAAAGTAAACTGAAGAGTATGCATGATATGTCAAACACCAAGGAATATTAACTAGAGTGAGATCCAATCACATAGCAAAAGTCACTAATTTGCATCATAGTTTTTACAAACCATCATACTTTATAGCATGTCTTTATTATGGCCAAAAACAATATACTAAGATGGTAAGACTTCTTAAACTCAAGATAAGTAACACAAGCTTGTGGGATTCAACCTTAAATTGCCAATTTCTGTTGGAGCATGAAAAGAGTATACATTACCGGATGCCAACTTGTCAAAGCTCTATGAATGTCAATACATTAATAAGTTAAAAAATTTTACATAATCCAACATATTGTGATGTCAGAATCATCATGAATGTAAATGCGGTAATAAGTTCAAATTTTAACATAATCCAACATCTTGTAATGTCAGAATCAACATGGCAAAGCATTTCACATCAACATAACCAAACCAAACCAAACCAAGCCTTAAGTCCCATAAAAAATGGTCAGTTACATGAATCATTCTTCTCCACATGGCCCTATCAAAGGCCATTTCGTTAGTCAAATTAAGTAGATCCATATCTCTATTAACCACACTAACCAACGTCAATCTAGGCCTACCCCGTCCCCTAACACTCCCATCTACCGTTACAGCATCGTATCTCTTCACTACTGCCTCTATTGGTCTCCGTGCATTTCACATCAATATACCAACGAGAAATTTGTTCATTTTCTTTCTCTTTTTTTTGTTTTGTTTTGGGATAAGTCAAACAGAGATTTGTTCTTCTGGAACTCCAGAACCATTTCCCAATAAGTACATTCCTCAAAACTAGATTACTCAACCCTAGTTGACTTTTCCTTCTCAGGCCTACAAGATATCTTCCTTCCAGATAATAAAAAAAAATTCCATTTCCTCCCAAACTGCTAGGCACAAGAAGTCCCACCGGCTTCATTATAGTTTATTACCTGCAACTGAAGGCAATCTAAAATGTCAGGCAAGAATGTTTCACTAACTAAGGTTATAAACCAAAGCCATCCTAGCTCTGAACAAAAAATAAGTTTTTCCTCAATGATCTTGACCCATCCCAAGCACAAGATCCCCGAAGCTACACAACCTAATGAGCAAATTAACCATTTTAAAAAGGCTTTTCAAACCTTAATGCATGTGATGGAACTTTAATCCAACCATTGCTTCATAAGGCCAAATATACTTCAAGAAGTGTAAGAGTGAGGTTAAGATTAAGGTCTTTGCTCCGAAAGAAGTTTTTTGCAGTGATCTTGAAAATTTCCAAGCCACCTTCCATTAATATCTTCCAGTAATACAGCATCCAGTGTGTCTGATAGGCAGGCAATAACATATGCATAAAATAAGATACATAATATATGCAAAAAACACTAGAACTTAGAAGTATTAAAAAGAAGAACAAGAACAAGAACAAGAATAAAAAGAGAAAGAAATAAAATGAAAAATAAACATAAAACCAAACCCGAAATCTAAATAAAAATAATGTTTATACAATATACAATGCAATTGTTCATAGAATGGAAATAAAAACATAAAAAAGTATGTATTACTAGAACCATTTTAATACCAGTTTTGGAATTAAAGCAGCTAAAGAGCTGACTCCGAAAGATGACAAAGCGCCAAGACCAACTAAAGTATTCATGTTTGGAGTCCCCCTAAAAAGGCTTTTCAGACCATCAACAATGAGTTGCTGTCCAGGACCAAGCAATGTAAACAATGACAAAGAAAGATGGAATCCTGTCGAATGGAAGGCATGAATCCATGAAGCATTCGCTCCAAAAAAATGAGAGAGATGGCCAAAGAGGCATACAGCACACAAAGCCCAAGAGACAGCAAGCCCACGACCTGTAAAAAATTTCAGCTATAAGTCCCAGTACATGAGCAAAAGTGTAGTCAGCACATTTGTATTACACGTTCAAAATACTATAATGAAAGTGTTATAAAGATTTATGAGAAAATGAACAAACATTTTAAATATTTGGTAGTAAAGGAAAAATGAGTTGGTTACCACTTTCTTTCAGCTGCTTACGCTTTTCATCCATCTTCCTTTCAAATATTTCAAAGAAGTTATCCTTCACAGAATCTGTAAACAAGCAAACAAAAACAGAATGTGGTAGCTAGAAGTAGTGCAGAAGCAGAGTTCAGAGCTGTTGCCCATGGAATCTGTGAAGTAATGTGGATTAAAAGATTCTTGAAGAATTAAAACTTTCTCACCCGACACCTATGAAGGTCTATTGTGACAACAAAGCAGCTATATCTATAGCTCACAATCCAGTTCTACATGATCACACAAAACATATAGAAGTGGATAAACATTTCATCAAGGAAAAAATCAATGCTGGCATAATCTGTATGACCTACCTTCCAACAGGTGAACAATTAGCTGATGTGCTAACGAAGAGACTACACAGGAAGCAATTTGATAAGCTGACTAGCAAGCTGGCTATGGAAGATATCTTCAAACCAGCTTGAGGGGGAGTGCTGTTTTCATGATATATACACAAGCATGTAAGCCTAACTGCAGATATTGCTGATGAGTATATGGATATTGCCGATGAGTAGAATAGAAACAATGTCACAAAATAGAGATTGGATGAAAAAAATCAAAAGAGATGAAATAATCTGAGCATCAAAGGCAAGATAAAACAAAGAATGAAGTGCATTAAATTCTGATGTTCTTGCTAAAGTAGATTTTGCTCTATGAAGGTTTTCCAGAGGACCCCCCTTTGTGTTGTTTTGATAGTAGGCTTTTTCCCTGCTTCTTGCACTTTTCCTATAAATTTGGCACCGAGAAGAATGAAATGGCTGGATCCAATATCCAATATTTCATCTAGATATTTAAACATTCTGCTGGAAATTTGTGTTAATGTATATAATAAGATAGTGGCATGATATAACAGAAATATATTCCTTCTTCCTCATATTTTCGGAGATCTTTTTCCTCATATTTTCTAAGTCATTCCATGTTATACTCTTACGAAATATCTTTCCTTAAAAAAAATAAAGCGAACGAAAGGAACCCACATCCCACTTTTCCTTTACCCTGCCCCATTGCTGGACGGGCCTCTATGTCAAGATCCAACATCTACAAACATAATGTTTCAACTTCAATTCTAACAATCAAACAAGACTAACAAAATACTACAAAAACCTATCAGGTCTTCCTCAACATTGAGTACATATATAGCCAAAAACCTTGCAAATGAAACTATATACTGTCTTCCAAACAATAGAATTCACACAAACTACAACAAACATGAGTTGATATCAATAAGCATAAGTGCTACATTTTTTAACACTAGAATGACATTGACTGACCCATAAATAAAGGGACCATGCTGCTACATATTCATTTTGATAGTGCACATGAGTGAAAGTTACGTGACCAAGAAAAATAACAATTTTGAGCCTGATATGTTCTCCATGACAAAATTAAACCAATCATTTCATCTACAAAATGACCCAAAGAAATCCAAAACGAAAAATTAGATGTTAGCAATGACCAATTTTTAGAGCATTGTGGCACTAAAATTAAGAAAAACACATCAGCCCAGATGCAATAAACTGATAGAAGAACCTAAATGATGATTGAAATTTACTCTATTGCAGCTTCCCTCTTCCACTGAGAGCAGGTTATCAAATATAAAATATTACAGAATCTTTTCAAGGGCTCCTCAAAGGCCACCATGACTAACACAAAGCATATGCATAAAAGTTGTCATAAGAACCCGATGGCAACGGCTTCACCGCCACAGCAACAAATTGAGGCGACATTGTCATCACATGGACAAGTCAGTGTGCTGTGGAACACTAAAAGATCAAAAAAATTTGAACACCAACACAATTGTGTTGCATACTGAAAGTCCTAGATTGATCAAATCCCTCAAATTCCAAAAATAGACAGCAAATGGTCTCATAAAGTGTTTCCATTTGTGTAACTACATTCAATAAATATAAATAAGTTCTGCTAAAAGATCCATCTTTATAACTACAAACATACATCAGTATCTGTACAAGAAACCTTTCCACAAACAAGTAATCCAAAATAATATATCAAATTATTGAATATAATAGTTAAAAAATAAATAAAATAAAAACTAGTAGGCATTTGGTATTAATTGATAAAGGCAAGTCATATGAAATGTTAACATTATAAAAATAAATTAAAAAATGTATACAAACAATGATCATTAAACAGAAGGATGCCCAGCATGTCTGTAAGAAAAACTCCAAACAGTTGCAAGAGCGTACACATGCAGATAGCAATCTTGCCAAACTTGATGGCTCACAACAAAATTAGGATGGTTACCGTTACACAAATCATTACAATCAGCAGACAACAAGGCCTTCACTGAATTATGCTGGATACAAATCTCCAAAAGAAGATAACAAACACAAAATACCCCTTCAAGAATGGGAGAGGGTAACAAGGGGACAAAGGTGAAATCAAAGCAAAACAAAACAAAATCAAATGAGCATTGTTCAACTGATACACAATCATTGTTCCTGTTAAGTGCGAACTACCATTACACATGAAATCTGACATATAAACTTTCTGAAGAATGCATAGACTCAATTTGACCAATGATAATGAACAAATTGCTTGAATTCAGATCGTAGAAGAGTAAAGTATCCAAAACAACTAGGCTCCGTGGATACAGAATTGCCTCCCTCCAACAAATCCACCACTAGTAGCCGAAGGGACTCACCTATTGATGGAAAAGTATTTCGTTAACTTAATTTTGAATCTATTCTTTCAAATCTAAAATAGTGGAAACATGATTTATAAGCAGCAGAACAAGTCTCACTGAAATTGAAAGCCCAGTGTAACAGGGACATACCATAAAGGACTAGTTGCACTTACAAGAAATCTTTTGGATTTCTACAATGGAACATCTCCTTGAATGGCTCCCTGACCTGCCAATTACCCACCAAGCTTCCAGTAAGTTACATGAAAGCCTGAATGTATTGTAGTGTCTGCTCCCATCTAGAATTTAGAGTTGCTTAACTGATCGCAGATAAATACATAATTCTCTTTCGGAGACTAGGCACACTGCTTGTCTTATTTCCTATTTCTAATTTAATAAAGGCAACTCTTATACTAAAGATGACTTTTTTTATTTGCATTACTTTTTCATTTCATATTTCCATCCAGAGAGTATGTATCTTTTACATTCTCTTTTTGTTTCAATAAAGCCATGATCTTTCAAACTATGAATTATACTTCTCAATCCAATTCAAATGAGAAAGCATGATTATCTACGGGGCTCTCAAATTCTTTTATGAATCTGTCCTCCCTGTTTTCATACCCTGTCTTAGTTTTGTTTATTATTAATGCTCTTTCAGCCCCATTTTTTCTTTTTCCTTTCTTTTTCTTCCTTTTTTGTGTGGGAAACGTCATGCGCCAAATATGCTTTACCTTCAAAGTCATAAATCATGCTTTATTGCATTCAAATGGGCCCTAAATGACTTTACTTTAAGTTTCTTGAGCTAACTACATTTACACTTCAAGAATGACCAGAGTTCATCCCAAAGTGTAATCCAAACCTTTACACAAAACTTGTATCCATAAATAAAACCTAAGTCACAAATGTTTGTGAAAATTGTAATGAGTTCATCCACTGGAAAAAGCGAGTTGGGAAGTTACATATAGAATATAAGAAGGAAGGGGGGGAAAAGACAAAAAAAAAAGCGATGTGTTTTATAATTTTTATTAAAAAAAAAATGATCAAACCTTAGGTAAATGAAAATGCAAAACAAGCATACCTTCCTAGGTCCTGATATATGTAGATAGCAAGTTATTCTAAGAATCCAATATATGAATGGTTTAGAGGACCGAATATTTTATGGTTCTAACACAATTCCACCTAAACATAGCTGCTAAAATCCTCTGACTTGTAATTGAACTCTTATCAAATTGTCCCAACTCGCCATTCTTTCACACTAATTTAATTCCCAAACCCTATCCCTCCAATCTTAAAATTCCATCCTTAAATGGCTTGGCATATTCCACCCCTCAAACCTTGTTTATCCTTGTTATCCCAAAATTCAACAAGTTCACTCCTTTAATTTCTAACCAAGAAACCTAGGCCAATTCAAGCCTATATTTGACTTTCAACCCAAACCTTACACTATCAATTTACAAATCCCAATAATGGAAGGCCTAGCCCATCATTTGTTTGCTGGGCAGCCATTGGGCCCCATCGTACATCATACACCTACCATTTCTAATATATGTTTTAAATTGTAGACAGTATTCTGATTGACAATTTTAGATAAATGAGATGTCAAACAGCGATACGAACTCAATTCAACCAATGTGTCTACCCAGTACCCTTCAAAGCAAATTGACATTGACAAATCCAGGAGAGCACATTATGTATATATTCTTGTAAGTCAACTATTTATAGATCAAATGCTAAATGATAGTCATCAAAGAACCTTAGAATCAATCCCCTACTTATGGACTCTCACTGCAAGAATGAATAATATAAGTCATAGAATCTTATCATCATATAAACATTTCCCCACTAAGAACAACCACCACTCTTTTCTCGTAGTTAAGTGAATTGTGTCCCAAAAACATATAATAGTTACATCAACAAACCAGTTCTATACTCTTCCTTGACATATTCATGACACATTACCAACATTCAGATAATTTCAGTCTTCGCTTTCATTATTGATGAGTATAAAGCAAAACCACAGAGGCAAGCACTCAAATTAAGCATATCATTTTAGCTATGATGATGTGGCAAGAAGCTTGAGCATTCAAAAGTATTACACCCAGAATATGTCACCTCACCTCGAAGATTAGACTTGAACCCACAACTTGTCAAATGCTTCGCAAGGGTATCTCCTAATTGCTTTTGCCAATTCGGTATAACCTTGGCCTCAGACACAGGCCATACAATTGCTGTCTCTGTTGTGAGATTGACACTAGCAGAAGACACTTGTGGCTGTCAGACAAAAAAAATATATACATAGTGAACTGTGGATTTTACCTAAGAATGAAAGCTTCTTCCATAAATCACAATGAAATATTTAAAGGGCATAATCCTTAGTTACAAAGATTTCACCCTTAGTTACAACTCACAAAGATTTCATTCATATCTCGTAGTACTAAACATGGGAATTCAAGCTTCACAAAAATTACAATCTCCCAATAAATTGATATATTTGTCAATATGTTAGAAATTTAAAGAGGTGTCAAAATGCCGTAAACTTTTGTCATATGATATGGGAAACGAAGTAAACTAAACAGAAGACGTCCTTACCATCTATTCATGATTTAAGAACAAACAAAGAGTAGATGAATCTGTATCTTGATTTGATCTCGAAATCATAAAATCCTCAAGCTTCAACTAAGCCAAATTACTATAACATTGTAACAAAATCTGGTTTCTTTATCTTATTTTTCAACACTTGTTTCCATTTTTTGTCACCATTTCTGTTTTATTAACCAATAAGTAAGTTTAGTTTGTTTAGTCAAAGATTACCACATATACATTTCCAATTGGGAGGGTCTATTCACACACCATAGAAATTCTCAGTTCACACGATTTTACCGTTTGGATGTTATCTTCTAAACAAAAATGAATAGTCGGATATTAACTTCCGAATAAATAAAAAATTTGTTTAGATATAAACCCTATTCGGTTATTGATATTCAAACATCTAATTTTTGTTTGGAAGTTGATATTTGAACATTTGACTTTGATTTTGATTTTTGTTCAAAAGTTGATATACAAATGACACAAATGATGTAAACTGAGACAATGAGTGTGGTGCAAAAATAGTAGTTCCCTTCCCAAATTGTAGCTTTCAAATATACATATTAACATCTATTCAGCCACCAAACATATACTATAAACTATACAGTAAGGATGGCAATATCACATATACCACTCACCTGGCTTTCCAAAATTCTCTTCACACTCGCTGCACATCCCCCACATGTCATACCCTGGAGAGAGGGACAGATTAAGAGCAAGAAACACAGGACACAACAATAAGTCTACGGATACATAATCGAGCACGCAGAACTAACCACATAAAATAATCTATTTCACTCAGATTGGTTGAAGACATAAAACATACATCCCATTTCATAAATAACATGAATATATTATATACCAGTGAGTCTCTAAAACCTACATTTCATAGAACATTTTGACCTAATGAGTCTCTAGAATCGAAATGCAACGAAGATCAAGAGAAAGTTTACCCCAACATCAAGAATTATCACATCAGGAGACAGAGCCGAAACATCTTTGGACCCTCCGACAACCGAGTTCCACTTGGCTTCCCCACTATCCGACGCACCATCGCCCCCGCCGCCTCCGCCACTCCCACGAATCCCTCCGCCGCCGCCGCCAGCAGCGGAGGCGAAGGAAGCAGCAGAACTGTCAACACACTGCAAGCGAGACCTAATTGGAGGCACAGACACCGCAGCACACAAACATCTGAGCGAATTGGAGGAATAAGATCTCGAATTGAATGGCTTGGGACTCTGAAACTCGGCGTTGAATAGTCGTCTGAGTTGAATATGGAGGCGTTGAGTTGGGCGAGTTGAGGAGAAATGGCAGTGGAGGCGAGAAATGCAAGTCGAATTCAGGGTTTTAGACATGGTTAAGAGCGTTGTTGTCGTTGCAGATAACTCCATTGGTGATAGTTTCAACAAGATTATCAACACTCTCTCTCTCTCTCTATCTCTATCTCTATCTCTCTCTCTCTCTCTCTCTCTCTCTCTCTATATATATATGTATGTGAATGTGTAATATATCTATAGATCTCTTCTCATCTTTATGAGTTCTCTACGCCTCTCAATTTTCAGCAGCTTAGATTAACTGAAGCGGGAGCGTGGATGATGAACGTGGACTGCCTTTAAATACTTTCCAAAATTACAAATACATCTATGATGTTATTTATAAATACATTTTTGGTCAAAAAAAATTCTAAAATACTATTTCAGTTTTGAAAAAAAATAAAAATAAAACGTTGAGGTTTTTTTAAGTTTAAATCTCAATTTGAGATAATTTAAAAGGCATGTGGTATTTATCACAAGTCATGTATAAATAATTCAAACCGTTGTGTTGTTATTTGTTAACGTTTACACTTGATACTTTTAATTTTTAAACATATTTATATTTATTTTTTTGTAAAAATAAAAAAATATTTTTAACGGATGCTTAAATTTTATTTTATTTTTTGAACTGACAATGCTTGTATTTTAAAAATAATGAGATTGTCAATGGTTAAAGATGGTGACCGAAGATGATTGTTCGTACATGAAAGAAGTTAGTGATCGCAGTGCTAGTAGTCGAAAGAGGTGAGATAGGAAAAAAAATGAAAACTACTTTTCCAAAAGTACAAAATAATTTTTTGCTACAAACTTAATGAAATTATTTTGAAAATGAAAATAAAAACCAAATAAAAATTTTATTTACAATTTTTAAAATTTTGTAAATATATAAACATAAAACTGTGAACATATGGCCTTATTTGATTAATATGACTAATAATGAAAAGATTAATAATTTTATGAATTAATGTAGGATTAGTTATCCAAATAAGTTAGTGAGATAATCATTTATTATGTATTCATTTTGTTTTTGTTTTTTTTTTCTTTCATGCTTGAAATTATAATCTCAAACTCTTCCAATATTAAAAATTTGTCAATTTTATCAGATTAAAATTTACAATTATAATCCAATTAATAAAATTTACAGTCAATTATGAAATTCTAAGTCTATGGACTAACAATCCTCACATAATCCTTGTCACTAGGGGTGTGCGAGGTGCAGTTCGGACGATTTAGGAGTAAAATTATAAATCGAATATCGGGTTAGCGGATTGACAAATTGCAGTTTTGGCAGTTTTTGGCGGATTGACGGATTGAAGAATATTCTAACTAATTATTATACATTTGCATAATATATAACACTAATTTGTATAATATTTTTTAGATATATAACACAAAGTAATTTTACATAATATGTTTCATAGATAAAACTATTAATTTGTAATAAATTTCATATCTTAAATCTCTCTCACACTCATTTTTACATTGATATTTCATTGGAAGTTAAAAATATTTGCGTATTAACTATAGCAGAGCGGAGCGGTTCGATTGGCGGATTATAAATTTTAATGTTTAAACCACGGTTAGTGGTTAGAACGGTAGAAATTGATACGAATCAGTACGATTTTAACGGATTAGGTGACAGCCCTACTTCCCACACTGACCTTCTATTTCACGTCTTTGTTTGGGGCAAACAATTTCTATTTTTAGTAGATATCTTGGAGAAACCATAGCCCTTCAAATTTGTATTGGTAGACAACAGTAACTTCCAGTTTTCCTTTTCACCATCTGTAATAATAAAAACCAGTACACTAATCAATCATTCACCCAATTTTTTGCTCCTAATAGACAGGAAAGCATATGGTGCTGAAAACCCACAAAGCAAACTTTTTTTTTTTTTCATTCATGAGAGTGAGAAAGAGAGAGAGAGAGAGAGGTTTTGAATTTTGATCAATCGCAGAAGGAAGGTTGACGACTACAGCTGTAATCGTTTGCATAATTGCATCCTCTGCTGGGTTAATGTTTGGCTATGATGTTGGTGTCTCTGGTTGGTTTTACTATCTCTTCCCATGCATGTAGTTCTAAATTATATCATTAGTCCATGTGTTTGGACGAGAGTTTATTTTGGTACTCATAATTTCAATTGCATAAATTTCAATCTTACGCTTTTATTTTGTTTCAATTTACTTCATCTGTTAAAAATGTTGACGGAAAATGTCCACATGACTAGAATGGATTTTTTGGTTAAAGTTTTCAACATTTTTTATTGAAAGAATTATATTAAAACATAAACGAACGTATATAGTTAAAATTGATGCAATTAAAATTATAGGAATCAAAATGAATGATAGTGTAATTTACCTAAAAAACATTTAGGGGTGAGCATAGTGAAAATAATATTAAAATATAATATATAATTAATTTTTCACTAAATGAGTTACTTGTGTTAACTTCATATTATACATGTTCGACACTTATTTTTCGTATTATCATTTCATGTCATGTTATAATTATATTCGTGTCAAAAAATGACCAATCCAATATGTGGCACACAACAATTTTACTAAAAAATTAGAAATTAATTACAGAACACATATAGAAAATTATCTATGCCTACAAAAAATTTCCCAGAGTTTATCACTAGAGTGTAAGGCTATGTTTGACATGTGGTTTTGGGGTAATTTTAGTCACAAAAATATAAAAATAAATTAAAAAATTAATAAAACAAAATGTTATATTTAAATCATAATCATTTTATTTTTTCTCTCACAAAAGTCAAAAATGCTAAAAAAATTCATCTCAAATAAGATATTTTAGCCTCAGACTAAAATAATTAAAGAGTCAGTCCACATCCCAAATGAAAGCTAAGTGAATAGACTCTTACACGTGAGAACCCGTGAAAAAATGCTTTTATAAAAGATTTTTATAAGATGTAACGCAACAACTATATATATATATATATATGGGTTCAGCTTGTCTTAAGTTGAGATCAAGATTGGATCTGTCCAGTTCGGCTCATGAGATTTATTTTTTGGGCCCGCTGTTCAGTTCGGCCCATGAGGCTTATTTTTTGGGCCTGTTTTGATAATCTGAACTGCTTAATGTGTAGAACTCGCTGAGCACTACATGCTTGTAAAAAATCACGTTGATTATATATCAATAGCTATGTGATCAATTCAGTTTTGTATAAAAAAAAAAAGACAGCGAAACAATTAACGGTTGATAAAAAACTGTTTGTTCACATAGCTATCGATATCCGATCAATGTGATTTTTTACAGACATATAGTACTCGACGAGTTCTACACATTGAACGGTTCGGATTATCAAAACGGGACCCGTGGTGAGCCCCACGGACCTAACAGCACGGTCCAGTCCGATCTTGGACTGGACCAAAGCCACAGCCGATATATATATACAGATGGACAAAATTTGTTAAAAGTTCATTTTTAAAGATGGAGAAAATGTCCATGGTGTGATCAATTGTCAGCAGCACCTATGAATCATGTACGCAGGAGGCATAACGACAATGGAACCATTTCTAAAGAAATTTTTGTTAGAAATGGTTTTGAAAAAAAATCTGGAAAAAACATAATTTTTTTTTTTAATTTTGGGCTTGGTTTGGGAAGTGGGTTGGCTTTTTGGCTTTTTGGCTTTTTTGGCTATTTTAGCCTGGGTTAAAAAGTTTGGTTTGGGAAGGGCTTTTTGGCTTTTTGACTTTTTTGACTTTTTTTGTGTATTAAAAAAATAGACGGCGAAACAATTAACGGTTGATAAAAAGCTGTTTGTTCACATAGCTATCAATATCCGATCAACGTGATTTTTTATAGACACATAGTACTCGACGAGTTCTACACATTGAACGGTTCGGATTATCAAAACGGACCCGTGGTGAGGCCCCACGGACCTAACAGCACGGTCTAGTCCGATCTTGGACTGGACCAAAGCCACCGCCGATATATATATATACAGATGGACAAAATTTGTTAAGAAGTTCATTTTTAAAGATGGACAAAATGTCCATGGTGTGATCAATTGTCAGCAGCACCTATGAATCATGTACGCAGGAGGCATAACGACAATGGAACCATTTCTAAAGAAATTTTTGTTAGAAATGGTTTTGAAAAAAAATCTGGAAAAAACATAATTGTTTTTTTAAATTTTGGCTTAATTTTTAGATGGGACCCGTGCGTCAAAGTTGGCAGATTTGAGTGGCAACGCGTTTTATGTCGCGTTGTAATTCACGTATTATATTTAGTTGCTTAAAACCATTATCAAGTGAATGAGAAATTGAAGTCAAAGTGAGTTCCATGAAAATAGATTTTTTTGTGAAGAATTCTTAAGGTTTTAAAAATAACTTGTCCTACATTGATCTTGTGAGAAACTTTGAGTGGGTTTATAACGCTTAGAGTTAGAACTTGGGGTAGGCCCCAAGGGGCACCCAAGTTTTGTAGAGAGGGAGGTTACAGGCAAAGTGGGTTAGACCCATTAGACCCAAAATAAACACACGCACCGTCGCCCGTCCGGTCGGCTGGGCTGGGCAGGGCACGGGTGCATGGTGTGTGGTTGGGTTGGGCTTGTCCGGCCCAATACCTATCTTTTTGGGTCAAAAATATTTGAATTTAATTTATGTTTTGGTAAAATAAAATCAGATCGTTTAAATTCAAATATGCCTGAACCTTTTGTACAGATTTCAAAATCTGTCCGAACAATTTAGTTCAAGGAAAACCCTTACCTGTTTGAATTTAAATACAAACAGATTTAAATTTGTGCAAATTAAACCGAACAAATTCGGTTATCTATTAAACAGTGCCGAACAGGTCTTGCACCTATTCAAACAGGTTTGGTACCTATTTAATTTAAATCTGTATAGCCACCACTCCATCTATAAATAGGCATCCCTCATTTGATGTTTTGGTTCACAATTTTCGTACTTCTCCTCTGCAAATAATCTCTGCATTTTGCTGCATTAAATTTCTGTGAGAAAGAGTGTATACATAGGGGGCGTTTGTTTGGACGGACCGGATAAGGGGGGATTGTAATCCATCGGACTATTAGCCCTGGGATATATTGTCCCGGAACTATTTGGTTGAACTAAATTTGTATCCTATGTTTGTTTAGTCATGGGATTAGATGTTTAGATTGGACTATTTTTAATTATCCAATATTTGTTTGGGATATTATGGAGAAGGATAAATACTCAAATGACTATTTTATTCTTTTCAATTATTTACTAAATAATAACAAT